TGCCCTCGAAGTCCTGGACATTCGGGTGAGCTCCCAGCCCCAGCAGGAACCTCACCAGCTCCTCGTTGTTGGTGACGGCTGCCAGATGGAGCACGGACTCCCCCTGGTTCGGCTCGCTGTAGTTGATGAGAGAAGGGATGCCGTGTGTGGTCATCTTCTCTATCTGTGGGCGATCCTCCAGCCTCACACATTGCAGCAGCTTGATGATCTGCAGTTGTTCTAAGCGCGTCGTGGCGACCGGCATCCTGGTGGTGTCGCTGTGGGGACCGTGCCGCGCCAAAAACTTACATCAACCAGGAAGTGTTCTGTCGACTTGGTTACAATGGGCACTCGGTAGCAACACTTAACTTGTGGCGGTCAACAGACTCGTTCAATACGGCGACTTCATACCTTCAAAGAGGAACACGAAAACAGTCTAAAACTGGAAAAATCTGTGGTTTGAGATTCGTCCACGATACAGCAGTGCACATCGGCCGTTGGTGGCCTATTGAGGACAGACAACACTCCAGGCAAACATAACCCGCGAGCAAGGCAACGTTGACTTAAGCGGAGTGTGCTGGCATGCCGGCCCATAGGGGGAGAACTCCGGACCACGAACGAGTCCTCCGGCTTCGCTGGCCCCTCTGGCCGAGAACAGGTGTCCCTCCCGCCGCTGTGTGGATACGGGATCGGAGTCCGTCGATAATACAATCAAATGGTCACCGTGCACAATTCACGAAAGGTAAAGGATACGCCGCCTGTTCCCGAAAGGGGAGTCGACTCCGCCATTCTCGTGCAGCCTATGACACAAAGCCGGGTAAACTTTCGTTGCTATGGTGAGGAACAGGTGACTGGACGCCACTTGAGCGGCCAGACAAGCACCAGGTCATTACGTATTTATGAGCAGAGCGGCGAAGAACAAAGGAGTTTCCTCTGGTCTCGTGTTGGTCTTTCCCAGCCACAAAAGTAGATGGGAGGAATGTATTATCTTTTGAAAGGATTGAGGGTAACCGCTACAGACAAGGTAGTTGTGATCAACACGCCAAACACAAGCAAAACGAAGGCAAAATCAGGCATACTTCGTTTGCAGTTCAACTGTGTCTTGCAAGGTGTCGCGGCAGATGAGGAGACGACCAAGTAATCTCCAAGCAGATCATACGGTGGCAAGGCAGTATCCATTGGCCAGAGGTGTGTCCATTAGCCGATAGCCACCGAAGCGGCCAATGGATAATGTATATTTGGCTGTCTGGGTAACGTATATACCGGTACTGCCTGGCCAACTTGATACTGCCTCATGGCCCGGGATAACTGGTTGGGCACCAATGCCACTGAGGACGTGAGTGTTGTTGCAAATGCATTGCCAGCTACTAGTGTATCCTATAGCAAATACCTACATTTCCAGCAACCCACTGTGAAATCATCTAGATGTAGATGGTTTCAATAGGGCTTTCTAACCCTTGCCAAGCTGCTGTATTCTTATTGCAGTTCCTAACAGTAACTTGTATCCCAAATCAATTTAGGTACAGTACTTATTAAGACACTTGACCCAATTTTGGTTGTGTAAAGTTTAACTTCTTTATGATATTTGTGATCTTAAACTTTTATGTACTTTGCCCAGTTGGGCAGCAATGTACAAAGTTGTTAATCATTGACAACCAAGACAACCATTTTACTACCATTTATTTCATTCCTTCATTTCCAGCAAGGACAGAGGTCAATATTTTACACACAGATACTGTATTTGATTCAGTGCAATTTGACAGGCATGGTACGTGATGTCATGGTACTTCCAGAGACTACCAGCAGTTGGTGGAATCAGTGTGTGATGGTATAGGTCAGGACCCAGTCCCACACACCAAACTGTTGAGCAGATTTACAACCTACAGGGGGAAAACAAAGGGGGCACTCTGGAGGCTGCTGCTGGTCATTCTGACTTCTTTGGCAGGCAAGCAGCAAGGAGGCTGAAGATAGAATAGCCCACGCCGAAGATGACAAGCCCCATGGTCGCACGGTAACAGGCCTTATCTCCTGATCCACCCTTCAGGTACACCATCTCCCCACCCGGCGCCTGTAAACAACATATAAGTGAGCAATCACTTTTTGGTCTGAAATCTGATCACAAAGGTAAACTGGTTTGAGGGTAGTTGCTTTAAAAAAGCTTGTAAGAAAGTTCTTGCTTGTTACTGAATACTAGTTTTGTGTAAGTCGTGACTGTACAATTGGTTCAAACTTTCCTAGGCAGCTAAGGACTTTCTCTTAGATATTATTCTGGTCCAGGGGTGGGGCAAATTTTCTCAAAATCAATACAAATGTAATAAAATGGAAGAGAAGGAAGTCATCACCTTCCCAATCTTAGATTTGGAGCAACCACAGCACAATCTATGGTTTTAACTTTGTGAATCTTTCTACATACCTGCATGATTTTCTGCTTCTCCAGAACTTTATTGTCCAGAGCTTTTCTGGTGGACGTGGAAAACCCCGCTCTCTGGACGAGCAATCTTGCCGCCTAAGACAGCAACATGAGGATACAACATTAGATGGGATATTTCTACTTTCATAAAATCAATATTTCACACAGTGTTACTTTATACATGATGATGACATCTACATCATATTGACAGGTTTTGATGTCAACTTCAATGTCATGACGTCATGGTGTCCAGAGAATAAATATACATGTATGTAACATGACATTGACATTATAAATACATTTCATGCTTTATCAATTTCATACTAGTCGTCCAAAATCAGTTGCAAAACATATATTTTGCATGTACCATGTCGACAAATTTGTAGCCCAAAATAACTTCCCTCTACCACTACCAAAAGTTAGTAGCATGCAGTATGCATCCAATCCTGATTTATTATTTGCCTGAGTAAATTCTTAGTAGAATTTGGTTGGATTGATGTTTGACAAATTATTGCTTATTGCAATTTTTTTCGACTTGGGTTTTATTTTGGCAATAACACGTTTATTCCGTCAAGGAATCAAGGTTGAAGAAACAACATACAGTTTAGTGCTTGAACGTAAATTTTTGAAGGTCATCTCTACTCCCAGTTTCATATTTTCCGTTGCAAGTAACCCCCACCAAACTACAGTTATCGTGCGTAAGCCTTAAAAGTGTGGAGTCAAACACCTACCAGTACTCTGTTCATTTCGAGGTTTCTTTCCTTTGCTACGGGCACAGAACGCAACAACTCTCCCTCTTCGGACCACCAGGAAAAATTTGTACCCGCAAATATGGCGGCCGGGCTGCTGTACTGACGATTGTAAAAGGCAATCTCTGATTGGTGCATTTTAGCACTAGCTGTACGTGATTCGTCCAAATAGAAATGTAGGTCACTGATTGGTCCATTGCTGTATGCACTATCCAATGAGTAGAGGGTTACCTCTGACGTTCGGCGTGAAGGCAAAGGTCAACTGGGGTCAATCATGGCATGGACGCCTGGTCTCAGCAAGGTGAGCAGTATGGTATAAAAACTTGCCTCAACAGTTAAAAACCACTGGTATTAGTGTAGCATTTTTAAAGCATAAAGTGTATAGCTCTGCTGTAAATACTCCAACTAATTGAACCATGTTAAATTGTGTCAAACTCATAGAAATTGTGCTTAAAATTTCCCTGGCATCATTCACGAGTTGCACATTCCCAGGATCCTTTGCGCACAGGGTAGGTCACGTGGGCGCACAGGGTAGGGAAAGGTCGCGGTAAACCACGTGACTCATCCTCGGCTCTGGTCGGAAGAAGTCGGAAGTGTTCGCGAGCGCTCGGAAATTTCAAAAATGGCTGACACCACTGCCGGCGGCGGGAGGCACGTAGTTTTTCACGGCGTTCGTACGGCAAAGCGGCATCGAATTTTTGCTCCATGACTATCGGTATGGGATAGGATAGGGTTGATTCAACACACTACGTGAAAATGTGAATGCTCCCAGCCTACTATCGGCCAGATATCGCTTAGGGCACCTTCTTCCGACCAGAGCCGAGGATGAGTCACGTGGTTTACCGAGACCTTTCCCTACCCTGACGCCCACGTGACCTACCCTGGGCGCAAAGGATCCTGGGAATGTGCAACTCGTGAATGACAAGATCGATCTCACATACTACATGTAGTACTAGTCATCATCATCATCATATCTCAATCAGTGAGTGTCAACAATTATGGTAATATTATAAGGCACACGACTACCAGCTGTTTAGTTTAATTTAGTCTACTGCAGATATCCTATGTAAATGAAATGCGACTTTTTTTAAATGGCTATGAAAAAAATGCAGTTGGTCAAGCTAGAACCATTGGTTTTAGTTTCACTGGCTGCTTGACTTAATTACCTTCGCCAAGAAGGTTATGTTTTCAGGGGCGTTCGTGTATGTGTGTGTTTGTGTGTGTGTGTGTCTGTCTGTAAACACGATAACTTGAGAAGGCCTTGATGGATTGTCTTGATACTTGATAGCTGGGTAGGTCTTGATGAGACCTCAAAATGATTAGATTTTGGACCCCCTAGCGGCTTGTTATGGTACTGCACCTGAACTTCCGGTTTTGATATCTCATGATCTAGACATGCTATGGTGATGAAATTTGGATGGTAGGTAGCTCTTGTGCTGGGGAAGAATTGACGTGAGTTTAGGCCCCCTAGCGGCTTGCTCTGGAACTGCAGGGATATATTCTTGAAAATATTCAAAAGGGGATAACTCAAGAACCAGTTGACGGATCGTCGTGGTTTTTGGTATATAGGTAGCTTACGTGATGCTTAATATAATTATGTGACAATTATGCAAATATGGATGTAATTTGCATAATTTATGGGGAAATTCTATAAATCATCTGCATGCCATGATACGACAATTGAAGCTTGCGACATTGGTAATTGACAACGAGAGAAACAAGGGAAGATATTGATTATGTTAATAATGACTTAATTTGCATAATTAATGAGGAAATTTTATAATTATGTAATGATAACTGCCTGGAATTTCATACTTGTGGTATTTGAAAGTTAAATTGAGGTGAACATCATTGAACATAATTTATTCAAATCAGGACCTCATTTGCATAATTTATTAGGAAATGCTAGAATGCATTGTTTGTTAATATAAGACTGTCTTTTGCTTGAGATTATGATAAAATGATATAATTCATGAAAATTAGGTTCCTATTTTTAAATCAGGGGGGAATAATCTAATCGATAATTTGTCAGTCATAAAGATTAACATCATTTGGCGAAGGTATGAGATCGGGGAACTCTAGTTTAAATTGCATTTTCAGCTTGTACAGTGCACAAGCATCTGCTACATGAGCCGTGCAACCACCCTGCTCTATAGAACATCTTCACGCCTGTCTGGACAAGGCACCGCAAAAACCTCACCATCAGCAGGATTCAGACCAAGTGGAGACATTTCAGACGTGTCAGTTTCAAACTTACCCATCTATGGTTCAGAACCACAGGAGTCCACATCTGAAAGTGAGATAGAAGCACTAAGGAAGAGATTTGGTGTGGACATCGCCGACACGGAAAAACACAATGTGAGAGCAACTCCTGGGGAACATGGGACAAGACATCTAACACCATTCCTGACTCCATCTGAACTTGCAGAGAGGAGAGAAATTCCAGAAAGACCTTTTGATGGAAGGAGGACAACGCTTAAGGAAGACTGGGAGCACTTTCTGAAGTGGTTCAAGAAAACATTTTATGAACTCCATTATTGGTTTGAGATGAAGCTTGACAGGGATGGGCGTAATCTGCTCTTTAGAAATAGGTGAGAGCTTTTACTAGTTTTAGTTTCAGATTTGGTTGTGGAATTTGATTTTATGCATAGTAGTATAAAATGTTATGTTTCTTTAGTTATATGTGATTCACAAAAAGTAAAAAAAAAATTAAACATGTTGGTTGCTCAGCAACCAACATGTTTAATTTTTAATGCTCTAGTTTTGCACAAACCCCACAATATCTGATCGGAGAGTTCTTGGTAACAAGTCCTAAGAGTAAGACAACTAAGTTAAATATACCACATTTGAAACTTTTCTGTAAAACTAATCACTCAGATTTTCAATGTTACCTTCCACAGGATCTTCCAGGTACCATGTGCTGTTTTGCCACATTTTGATTAATGTAAAATTTATTTTCCAGACTGACATCATGGTATGTAACCCAGTTCAACACAGAGATTGCAGTGGCCGTATGGGTGCTCCAGCTGCGAGGAGCAGTCCGCTACAAGAACCAGGAGGACTGGCACGGAGGGAGCTACAGGAAGTTCCAAATCAGGCAGATGATGGAGGAGACTGTGGAGGCTGTGGACCTCAGCGGGACGGACATTTCTTACAACGGGCTGTCAAACCTAGGTATGTATCCATTATACATGTTGGATGCAAGTTGTAACATTGCTGTTACTGTATTCATATTTTACAGCATCTGTTTCTTGGCACATGTATTGTTGATATTGAGAAAGATACGATATTGCTGTTGTACACTTCATGTTGTCGTAAGCTGAGACATCCACTAGGAATTGCTCAAGAGTTTTCCATACATGTGTCAACTATTTGAAACTTTGAGCACCTATAAACACACTTAATGCTTGCTTTCCTGTCACTTACAGAACTTCTGGGAGACATGAGAGAGTTGAGGCTTGCAGACTGTCCCCATGTAGATGACTTCTGCCTGTCCAAGCTGCATGAGTTCAGCGGGAGGCTTGTTTATCTGGACATCAGCAGGTGTCCCCGGGTCACAGAGAGAGGCATCTCAGCTCTGCACAATGTCAGGCAAGTTATTCTATACTTAAATTACTGTGGCTCTGGTATGGTTTAAGTAGTCCACTGATACGATGTTGTACATTAAAAATTGGTTGCATTTTCAGTTCAGTTCAGTTCATTGGTTGCATTTTCAGTTTGATCAGAGACATTATAATGTCCTTGGTTTGATGTAACATTAAGTCTGACACGTGTGGGAACTAAACAGGAAGTTAGTTGAAGGACAGTTAAATCAATTTTTAAATTGGAAAGCTCTTGTCCACTTTAGAAATCTTTGGGACAATATCACAAATCTGTCTTTCTTCCTATTTCCAGGAGTCTGCATGTTGTTAAGATGGAAGAGATGCCCAATGTGAAGTACAAGGAACTGATTGTGCTGATGATGGAGGAGGCAATGCCATGGTGCAAGTTTGAGGGTGTGGACTACGTGAAGAAGGCAGCACAGCTGGGCATCAAGATGGACCTGTCTGCCTTGGAAAACAAGGATGTGAAACTTCTCGACAAGCCAACAGAAAAAGTGGAAGAAAAAGAAGCAGAAGAAAAACAACAGCAAGATGCTACATCTACAGCTGCAACTTAGATACCTTTCAGTTCAAATAGTTTGATGGGGTGAGAACACATCTGAAGATTTTGTGACATCACAATTGAATGTTATATACATGTACATATCAGATTTATCAGATTGTATATTGAAGACATTGAAAAGACTTCTTGTGTTCTGCCTTTGTCTATGGACAAACTGTGTACATGCAGTTAAAAGGAATATTGTAAAGTACAATTATGTATTGGAATTCAATGCTGAGAAATGATGCGCATTAAATTGTTGTCAACCACATGTTGTCTTTATTAAACCTACTAACGGTTTCACAGAGGTTGATTGAACCACACTTAAACTGCCTCTATGGCTTCCTGAATATTACTTACATTATAACACATCCATCAAATTATATATAAAGCATCACAAGGATGGTCACATATTTCATGCTGTGCAGGAGAAAAACATACACATTTGTTTTAAAGTATGAATGTTTCCCTTGCAATATCTTATCTTGCAATCCTATCCTTTCCATTAAGCCTCATGTTGCCAAAGAAAACATATAAAACAGACTCCTTAACATTTCCCAGCAAACCTGCATATGTTTCAGGTTTGTACTGTGTTGTCAACAGAGTTAAAAACTCAGTTCAAAAGCTTACTCTGGTGTTACATATTGATTATTATATTGTCTTGAGCAGAAACATTGAGTGACTGAGAGAACTAGAAGTAGTACTAGCCCTGCCAAGTCTCCCATCCTCAAGTCAACAGCCTTTGTGACACATTAAAAGTAGTCATGACATATTCAAATATGGCTGAACACAGAGAAATTAGGCTTGGCCTCCAGCCAGTACTGAACAGCATTCAGGAATGGTATGTTCCTCTAGAACCAAATCAGCTGGGGTTTCTCATGTTATTTATTTCACCAGCAGGGTGAAACATTGTTTTACTCAGTCTTCTCATATTCCCTCTGCATCTATCTTACAGTTTGGCAGGGCATGTTCTAGCAGATGGACTGTGCCAGTCTTGTCTTTCACAGCTGGTAGGTCAAACAATCTCAGAGTCTCCAACAAACTGTAACAGCAACAAGGAATGAATGCATCACATGGAAGTGTGTTTTCACCATATCATATGCACTTTCTTACATGGTTTCTGAAGATCGCTAGAGATCACACAGAAATTGTAATTAACACACTAGCTGTGCCATCTTCAAGTCTTGTGTGTCATTTCTTGTTCCCCAACCAAGTCAAAACACTACACACTTCAAAAGCTTCATCCAATGAAATGTTACCTTATATGTTCTTGGAAAACTATCACCCCAAGGTAAAAATGCTGGAATGACCCCTTTAATTTCCACACAGACTACAGATGTTTTGTAGTAATAAGTCTTGTACACCAAATAAAGTACCTCAGGTCTTTAAGCTGCATGAGTCCTTTATCAGTGACGTTTCCACAGCTGGATACCTCCAGGTGCTGCAGTGTACCTGCCAGGAGGTTCAGCTTCCCTATGCACTCATCTGTGATGTACATGCACCTGTTCAGTGTCACAGACTTCACATGCTTCAGATGTTCTGCAAGGATACAACATCAATCAGTGTTCGAAATACCTGTCTGCAATCTGCAGATAGATTTCAAAGATTGCAGAAGAAAAATTTATACAATCTGCAATTTTGCAGCAGGAAAAATTGGCACTTGGGATTTGGTGCTCTTGGCCCTAAGGACAGACAACACTTAAAGACCTGTTCTGAAACAACAGGAGCTTCTTCACTAATTTATATCAACCTTGTCTTGACTTGTCTGTCTTTTGTTTCCTTTTGGACTTCCAAAAATTTGTCTTCACTAATTTGCATATCAATCAATAGTTCATGCTTATAAACTTGCAAGATTGTAGTATAGAGGCTTGTGTATTTGCAGAAAGTATTTCCAAATTGCAGAACAAAATTTTGACTCTTCTGCAATATTGCAGAACACTGAAAAAAAGTATTTCGACCACTGCCAATGGTAAGTATATAGGGATTTGTTCTTACCTGCCTACATTTCGATGCCTGACAGACATCAAAATGTAACTAAGCAGGTGAAAAACACTACTGGTTGTGTAAGAAGAAAATGCCTATACGATCTTGTGTCCTAACGAACCTGATGAAATAATTTTCGGAAAGTATTTGTAGTGACAGATTTTGATGACATGCTGGGTAGATGTGAAACAAAACTGAAATGTCAGAAAATGTAACACTGCACAGTTAATAGGAAAATTTTGATAAGGAGTAGGGTAGAGATAAATTCTTGTGTTTTGCTGATTGCAAGGTCTGGATTGCAAGTCAGAAGATACATTGTAAATGATACTTACTGAAATGTTCAAATCCGATGTGCATGACACCCGAGTCTGTGGCATCAATTTCCTCGATCTTGAACTTCTGTGGAGGTCCTGTGGGGAGGGTGTTGTAGTCTCTCTGCCAGGAGGGTCTGTCCTTGAACCTGAGGTGAGCGCCGCATCTCAGCAGCCACTCTGCCGCCGCTCGGTCTGGACCCACTTGCTCAATCCGCTTGTCATCAACCCTGTACAAAAAGAAGGCAGTCAGACTGGCATTGTCTGATATCACTATTTGTACTCATTCTACATACTTTCTCACACCATCCCTATAGCTACTTTAGGTGCTGATATGTAAATAGCTTTTTTATTCACAAAAAAAAGATAGGAATACAATGTACTGAGAAAATGTTACATGCAAAAGTAATTAATGGTATTCAAGCAAGTTTTATTGATATAACCAATATGATATGACTGAAAACACTAATTTTTAAGAAAAGATTTGATATATTGTTATGCTCTTAAAGTTGACTTCTTAATACGAACTGAAATACAGATCAGCACTTACTGCCTACCTGGTCTGAAAACATGAGCATTAGATGGACACGATTAAAAATTGCAACATGTTGCAAACTTACTTGTTGAAGACAGTATTGAGCCATCCCCACAGCAGTCTGGTAGGTGCAGTGTGCAGACGTGTGGAGGTGTTGGACAGCAGCAGGACAGGGAACACCTGACACACACACAACAGCTTTCGCATGAGAAATAGATGATGTTAAAATTATGATGATTTCAATGATATTAACCCTATAACCTATTAACCTTAACCCTATATAGCAGTTTTATGGAGATACTAGGCTTCCCTCAGCTACATGCATTGAGCAGTTTACGGGCTTACAGGCTGCATGGCGCGTTATCACGTAACATTAGCTTCAGACCATAACTCTAAGCCCATGACCATGACCGTGTAACCAACGTTACGTGCATGTTCTCACGTCAGAAAACTGTTGCTTGCATATTACAAATATATTGGTCCGAATTTCAAACGACCCACCAGCCTGGATGCCATTTGATCGGTAATACACTAAGAAACCTTGCAGAATTCGTTAACAGTACCCGACACCATCACCTATGATCATGACACTGACCTTGTTTCTGACACACGCTGATGTCAGGACTGCTGCCATTGGGAAGAGATGTTTTCACTTCAGTTTGATGTCAAAGGGCAACACCGGATCATGTCATTGATATAATAGGGGTGGTCAAAAGCCGAAAAGATGCATTTAAAAGTTAAGAAGTAGCGTATAATCTGTCAAACAATACATAAATCTGCAATTAGTTTTGTTTATAGAGTGGGAAGTTCATCTCTGTTGTTATGATTCCAAAATGTCGGATTTAATTTATGCCTCACATCCCTCAGTTGTACAATGAACTAGTCCAAAGAGCCAAGATGGCAGCGCTCATGAGAAACGCGGCGACCAAGGTAAAGGTTCTTTTTGATTGGAATAAACTGCCGTCGATTTGGATGTACTGCGACTTAGTACTGAACATGATGACAAGAGAATTACAAAGAAATGTTTCGTGTTTGTTTTTATAGTAAGGACTTTGCCTCAAGTATGACTATCAGAATATTTTACTGAATATGCCCCCCCCCTTCTGGAGTTAGTTTTTATCATGCAGTGCTAGATACTCGTATAACTGCGAGGCAGAGACATCCTCATCAGGGCACCATGGCTGCTGTATCAAGTAGACAAGCGCTGTTCTTGTAATCTTGCAAATAATTTCATTTACGTTGCATATCACGATAATCAATAAATCATACTTATTTAGGCCATATAGTTAGCATAATTTAGCACACACATTTTGAGTCACCAAGTGTTAATACCTAGAGAGATCATTGACTCTGAACTGAACCAAGTGAAAAACTGAGCACCTAGAGACCACGTCTAGCGACATAATAGACGTTAAACAAGGACAACAACAACAACAACAACACATGTATATCCTGTCGCTCAGACTAAGATATATGTTGATTCATATTTATTTCCTCCAGGAATCATGTAAATATTCCGTCAGGTTAATTAGTACTATAATCATCAGTTACATAAAATTATACTGTAGAAAAGGACAATATTACTAGTGTTCAACATAATCAAAATTAAGCATGTTTCTCCCCTGCTCCACCAGATGACCACCATACTGAGACCATGCACCTGTATAACAGTGTCCCAGCGAAACCACACTTTTAAGAGGGACAACAAAGAGAAGGAGAAAGTCCGGACAAAGATCTGGGTGGACTATGATATGTTGCACAAGGTGTTCAACAAGTAAGGACTATCTGATAGTTTCAAGAAAAGTTTCTAGAAAATCTAGAAAAATTATATTTCCCACTGCTGCCATGTCACCTATCTGCAAAATGGGTGTGTTATGGAAAAGGTATATTATACCGGCTGTTCAGATACTGATACTGATATGGAATATTTCATTAATCCTTTTTTTAATTTTTTGGACAACTAATCAATTTCTGCCATGTTAGTGAAGTGTGTCAGCAAATTATTGCAGTATATTTTACGGAAACAACTGTTGTTTCCTTTGCATTACTTTCTTAGCCCGGTTACCAACACTATTTTAGCTCCCAAGTCTTTAGCAGAGAAGACAACAGACTTGGGAGGTAAGATAGGTTTGGTAACAGGCGATTACTTTCCTATCAGGGTTGACAGAGCCCATATAGACAGAGTTGGGCAGGAGAGAGCTGCAGCAGAGTGGATCACCAGGTGTGGAGGGGCGGTGAGGATACAGGATGTGGAGGAATGGTTCCATAACTACAACAACCTGGGCACTGGGCCTCTGGGCAAGTTTATGATAGAGGAGATAGATGCCAGCTGGGCTGATGTACAGGCAGAGGGGTTTGATCTTCTTGGTGAGTACTGAAACAGTCATACCATTTAATGTAAATTACACTGTACACTCAGCAGATGCAAGGAACCCTGCTAAACTACCTGCTGAGTTAAATTTTACAAGCCACCAGGTTTCAATGATCATTAATGGTATTTACATCCCAACTCCTCCAGGAGAGGAATTTTTGAATGGTGTCTTACGATATGTGGCAAACTATTCTAACCCAACTGAAATCTTGCAATATTTTCTCTGTATATTGGAGATTGTAAAATGAAATGCCTTCTAATGACTTGTATTACTATTATGGACTTACTGTGTATTGAATTGGAATGTAAGTGAAATAGTCAATAAAATGTAAGGGAAATGTCAATAAAATATTTTATGTGTGTACATGTTTGTCCAGATGGTCTGAAGGCTGTACGTACCATGAAGCTGAGCAGGTGCCCGTACCTGCAGGATGCCTGCCTGGAGAGACTTGCACCACTCAGCCACAGTCTGCACAGTCTGGAGATCTCACACTGTGGCCAGCTGGTCACAGACAGGGGAATACTGGCACTGCAGGACCTCAAGTAATACTTCTAAATTTCTCTTCTTAAGAAAATTTAGTTAGGCCTATCAGGCTCTGAATACTCAATATGAAGACCTGTCACTTCTTGGTATGAACAAATTTTTAAACAATTAAATCATTGAATATTTTCATCAGGTTGGTGGATGATTGAATAGCAAAGTTCTTTATTCACAACCACTTGTTTAGCAAGGGCTGACATTTGAATGATGTTTCGATGTCATCTTTATCAGGACAATTATGTCTGTTTCTCCTAGCTGAAGTGCACAGTGAAGAACTTAACTATTCAACAACTCAATCTTGTTTCCCAGGCTGCTGCAGAGATTACACCTGGCTGACCTCCCAGGGGTGAAGGACCCAGAGGTCACCCTACAGACCCTCCAGTCAGCAATCCCATCATGCCTCATCACAGCCGAACTTGGGGATACAGAAGCTCAACAAACTGTGCAGATGACTCCCCAGTGACATGGAATTGATGCCATACTGTAGTTGGCTGTGTTTTGTATAATACTAGTAATATATGTACATTATGTTTTGTGACATGTCTTAGTGTTCTCATAGAAGATGTTATTGTACTTAGATACTAGTATTGGGGCTGGGACTGCTGACCATGTGATGCAGGTCATATGGATGAAGCATGGATACATGAATGATGACACCTCCTTGATCAACTTTATTTCATCTTTATAAAGAATTGAGCAGAACTGTCGGTATGGTACATCACAGTATACATTCATTTTACACTAGTCACCATTATTATAATTTTATAGATTTGAACCCTGCCCACGTACAGCTTGTTTACAATAATACAATTAAGTACATGTAATTACATTTGTACAATGAATACATTAATGCATATGCTGTTCACAATGGATAACATTATTGAAAATACTGGGCATGCAAAGAATACTAGTATAATTTTGAAACCACACATCTTTTTACATCATCGACCTGCTGAATAATCCCCAGATATCACATATCTTTCATATATCAATTCAATTGTTTCAATGACTGACCTGTCTACAAACAATTACTTCATCATTACATTTTATTGAATGTACATGTAACTAAAGATGTTTTCCAAAAGTGGTTAGACGCATTTGCTTGAGAGGTATGTGAATAGGATTGGTTAGGAATTTTTCTGCTTGTTTACAAAAGATACACAATGAAATTACATGTATACATCTATGATACCATATTGAGGAGCTACTTACTCTGGTGAGTTCTTTGCCTAACAGCTGATCACACAAACGCTAATACATTTATTGACTTGTGGATAAGATAGGAACTTTAGTCCCCAATATATTCTAATGTTCCTACAAAAATTATTGCTTCTATATAAAAATATTTAGATTTACAGAATAGCCATATCTGATATCTGAACCTGCATATCTGCAAAGCTCCCTGTCTGGGAGTCCAGGGGGATCCAAAGTAAGAAATTTTGCGTATCTACATCTGTTTACATGCTGGTCAAAAAGATTCAGGCAATTGTTGCATGTTAAGACTTTCAGGACTACCAACATTGTTAATCTGGCAGGATTTTATCATGAGTGGGAACAAAGTTGCAGCAGAGTGTAAGCGGAAGAAGATGCACAGGGGATACGCAATATGTATGACTACAGACCACACAACCGAGCCAAAGTAGATTTGGCCAAGTGCAGTAGTGGTGATGTTTTTGACTTCGTACAGATCGCTTCCCCAAAGCCCAAGGTTGATGGCGGAAAGGCAGGAGAAGACAAAAGTGCGCCACTTTGTTCCCTCCCACTGCTGATGAAGTCCTCCCATTATCAGCAACAGTTGAGCAATGCAGTGGATTGTGCCAAGGGCGCAGTCAGCAATGTACAAGTGGGAAATATATCCACAGGCAGAGGAGTTGGTGAAACCTGCAGCTGCCGCCAAGCCAAAGCCATTAATGAGAAAAACACCCGCAGCAGAAGAGATCAGTAAAGCTGTGTCTATCCAAATGTGACCCCTGTGTTTGGGGTCAATGTCAGGGGAACTTTGCAATAATCCAGAGGTTTCCACTCCTTGAATAATCTGTTTTATTGGAGAAAGGAGTATAGTTAGGCACCCGAACAGGACTATTACGGAGATGGCTATACGGTATCCATAGTATAATCCAAAAGTGGTGTCTAATGCTGATTTCACAGTCTCAACCACTGTGTTATTGCAGATATCTGTTTTGATACCCAAGTCATTGAGTTTTGTATAATGAAAAACTGTAATAACTATCAGTACCAGAATTACTGCAACGCCCAGACTCAAACCACCTACTAGAGGGATGCGCAGGGAAGTGGTCTGTCGTGGCGGACCATCTGTTTGTTGTACTTGTGTATGTTTTTCCCCAATGCGGTTCCACAAATTCAGGAAAAGCCCAGCTGAGATGAGTGAGTATTCTAGAACGAAAGGCTGTAAAAACGGGCGTATTTCATGAAACTGGCCCTGCAAGCCCGAAGAAGCTGGGCAAGTGATATTAATAGGTCTGATCATATAGGTATTCATACCAGATGTCGGTCCCGAAGCTGGGCTTTTCAAGACTAGTATGGACGATTCTTCATCACCTGACTCTTCCACCAGAAAATGAAACCACAGACTTACGTTTGTACCCATCAACCACATGAGGACAAAGTGGGACAACCCCCTGCAAAACTTCAGCTGTGCGCCGTGCTGGACGTATTTGAAAAAGAAGAGCGGTTGTATGAAGATGAACAAGAAATGGCATATTTGATAAGCTATCCATTCAGGTTGATCATACCCCCAAGCTTCATCGCGATAGCACTTAGCATTGCTATAGTAGGCGAATATATTGAAGATAGGGAGGAGTGCAGCCCCGAAGGCAAAGATGAGCGTGGCTAGCAGAAGGTGCAGCACTTTCTTGTCCAGCGGTCCCGAGCAGCCAGTGTTGTTGTTGCCTTGGACGATGAGGAAGTCAGGAGGGCAGAGCAAAGTCACGACTATCCACAGCAGACCGGCTATCATAGCTGCAAGTGACAGAAAATGGTCAACACTGTTACCAACAGTAGCCCGAGCAACTGTAAGCTTATTGTAGAACATGATGTCCGCCAATGTGTAACGTTTAAATAGTTTTAAAATCATTTTGTTTACCGCGATCCGTTCTATGTGTCTATCTTGACTCCGTTTCGCTCCTGCCTCTGATCGCCTCCATGCCGCATACTAGTATTCGACGGGGAACACGGGGAAGTGATCAGAGGATCGGTTTGGAGCTAGTACAGGTTGGAGAATACCAAGGCTACCAAAGTAGACTGAACATTGATGTGGCTCCGAGCAGATGCTTTAGGAAGAGTGTAGCGGAAACTAGAGTTCCCCGATCTCATACCTTCGCCAAATGATGGTAATCTTTATGACTGACAAATTATAGACTATTCCCCCTGATTGTGCAACTAGGATCCTCACTTTCATGAATTATATCAGTTTATCATGTTCTCAACCAAAAGACAGTCATATATTTAAGGGTTAATGACCCGCCCCGAGGTGAATATGGTGTGATAAAGCCTTGTCAGTTGCTATAACCACCGAATGAAGCCACCAAGTGAGCGCAGCGAACGAGGTGGCTTTATGAGGTGGTTATAGCAACTGACAAGGCTTTATCACACCATATTCACCGAGAAAGGGCGGGCCATTAACGCTATTATCATATAGCTTACACGATAGCCTATCCAAACTGATGCAGTAAGTGACACAATGTACAATTTACCCGTTGCACATGCTGAATAGAACATAGTTCCATCTGGAGTCACTTGAGGTCACTGGGTAGAGTTCACGTTCTATGTCTTCTATCTGGGTCACAGGCAGGGAAGAGGTGTTCTTATGGGAGTCACCCGAGGTCATTGGAACACAACTCAAGTTATTTTTGGATTTTTTAGAACTAGAGCCGTGTTCTATTGGGTCACCTGAGGTCATATGCGGGTGATTATTGGGTTTGTTTAATGTATGGATTGGGATGAATAAATACCCAATTTTGACTCTATTTGTGACGTTACGGCGTCATAAGGAATGTGGAATGGAGCCTTCTGATTGGTCAACGTCACCCGGCTATATGATAATAATAAACAATGCCATTCTAGCACTTTCACATAAATTATGAAAATGAGGTCCTGATTTGAATACATTATGTTTAATGATGTTCACCTACACTAAACTTTCAAATACCTCAAGTATGAAATTCCAGGCAGTTATCTACCCACACACCAAGTATCAAAACGATCCATTTATTAAGTCTTCTCAAGTTATCGTGTCTACAGACGGACACATACACACGTACATACACGAACGCCTCTGAAAACATAATCTTCTTAGCGAAGGTAATGATACAGTACCCGTATGTGTGTGTGTGTGTGTGTGTGTGTGTGTGTATCATTCACCCACATCTTTCATTTCGTTGCGATTATATTGATTACCTATATAGAGAAACCGTTCCAAATTCTCAGGCCCGATTGACTCCATCTGCGCATTTTCCATTGGAGACGTCGGTGCGACGTGAGGAGCAAGCGTGAACGGCTCCACGTGGTTGTTCACGGCACCTCTTGGACTTTCTCCAACACTGAGCACTATCCCGGTAGTCACCAGACAGAACAGGCCGATGATGCTGACAAACTGGGCAAGGTAGTTTTGCAAAGAGTGCTCTCCCTGAAAAAAGGGCATTTTCTTAATAAATAACTTATCTTGGATATGATTGTCCCTTCACATTAGTATGTAAGTGATTCAATAGAAAGCCAGGGTAGGTTCTGAGCAAAGACCCAACATTTGCCTCCCCAGCCTTTCCGAAGTACACATTTTGTGAAAAAAAAGGCTGGTAATGGCAATTGAAACGGTTAACTCCAAAAAAACCTTTCAAAGGTGACGGACCTAATATATTAACTATCTACTCAACATTATAGATGCCTGTACGTGTATTTTGTACGTACCTGATCAGCACTCGGCGGGGGAGCCTTTACTTCGGTTTCATCGTCACTGTTCCTACTCAACAGCGCCAGTTGTTCATCGTCCGACATAGTTTACAGCAGGTGAAGTAGTGGCTGCGTGGGATGCAACGATGTTTAGGAAGTTTTCAAAAGGCCTGGTCGATGCTAGTCTTGGCCCGCACTAAGTTACTATTTCAGTGCCCGGTGACCGGTAAATTTACTTCCGTCAAAATCGAAACCTGTTAACGACTGGCAGTTTCTGGCACAGGACACAAAAGGAATATGCTAATATAATGCAAAACCAAGAGCCGTTTATGATAACGTTACCTACCTTTTTGCTTGTTGCAAGTCTTGTATTTAAACTACTTGCTTGTTGTAATCGTACGTTGTCCGGGATCCAAGAGAGAAGGGGAGAAGGATCGTTCGCCCGCGCCAATTATGGCTGACTGTCTGTACCCCGCGGGGATATTACATGAATCAGAATCACATGAAAACCATGAGGCCAAAGTTAACGAAGCATGTTAATCTCAGGCACGTATTGATCACTCGCGCGCCCTGGGTTGTGAGGAACATTGAAGGAAACTCATAACCTGATACTAGTAACCAATTAAGATATACTAAAGGCGCCACACAAGTTGCTTCGTGGTGGCGCAGTAGAAGTAATTGTAGCAAGTTGATGATTTGTTAGACTAGCCAGGGTCGTGGAATGGCGTCAATGTTTTTCGAAAGTTATCAGTCGAACTTAAGTCCAAATAATTTGGCTTCCGAGTAAACTCGGAATGTAAGTGGCGCCGATTGAACTTGAAAGTGTCGCACCAAGGATGATCTCACTTGCATTGTAACTTACAACACGATACTTATTGGTGAATAATCCTAACTTGACAATGCGTTTTCAATTCAGCTAAGTTTGTTGAATCGGTTACGTTTTTTCAAGTTCATGTCCCATGACCAATTCAACAAACTTTAATAATATAGTTGAATATTGCCACGTGGCCGTCCGAGTGATTCGCTCAAGTTTTAGTCTAGTCTATCAAGGTTTTAAAGATGTTAAATTCTTCCCTCTGGTTGTGGTCGTTTCTTGGCATGAAACATAATGAATATGCATGGGAAAATATACTGGCTAATGCTTATCTATCGGTCTTTTGAAACTTGTAGAGGGAGGTCGCCCCGTAAGCGGGAAAACCAGGGGGTGGTCTCTGCAGACCGGTATCACGTGACCTCTTAAGACATCACATGACCATAAAATGTGACCTTTCCTTAATTCCTAACAACAGAAACACGAATGGCACAGCAATGGCGCAAAACGTTTTCTGAACTCCGTTTGACTCCGTACTCATTATACTCAGCCGTGTCTACCTCCATGGTATATGCAACGAAAATCTCATGTGGTGGACACAACACGATCTGCTACTTTTGCTTTATCAGTATTGGTTACCATTTTCAGTACAACACATGACCTTGGATATTAGTTGTGATATCACTTGGTTATGTTTTCCCCACAGCTACCAGCAAAACAGCATTTGACTCACTTCAACTTGAAAGTGCTATTCAACTTTAATATTGTAGCTTTCCGCAACACACGCAAAACATTGATTTGATGAGCATGCAGCTGTTGTAGGAACATGAAGCCACAAAACGTTTTTAAAATGTTACCTGCAAACACACTTCTACGATAGATTATATGGATCAATTTGCTGAACTTCATTTAATCTATGATCTATGGCTATAGCCACAAGAAGTGAATGTAACGTTAATGAAGAGCCACCTAGCGGAAACTTATGTCAAAGCATATTCATGATCGTGTCAGAGGTGCATGCTGGCCTGTCGAATAAAAAAGCAATAAACCATAGATTAGAATTATGAGAACCAGTAGGGAAACACTGATGTAAACCACGACAAATATTTCTTGAATCGTAACACAGAAAGCGTCTTCTAGACGAACTGATTTCTTTCAAAAGAAGCAATCGGGTCCGCCATGTTTCCGATAACTTCCATATTTGGCAGATCGGCAATCTTCGGAGGAGGTGAATTAGCCTTCGGAGGTTGGTTCGGTTGTCGTCGTGATCAAAATGGCGGGTATATCTTTCGATGTGGGGAGAGAAGAGTATCACTATTTTTATTTTACAATAATGTAATTTTTAACTCCGGAGATCTATTGCTGACACCTCCATTTGGACAAGGAACTATCAGCCAACATGTGTGACGTGTGTGTGGACTTGCTGGGGATTTTACAGTCCTGTGAGTACATTGATTTTGTTGATAATGTGGTGGTGCCGAAAAATTGAGCATGACTCTTCATGATTTTTTGGTCACCAAATCGACTGTGGTGCAAACTGTGTGCCGAGGCGGGGTCCCCGCTCATTTGATCATAAATATAAGTGACAAAGAGTTATGGACTTTTGTAAAATACAGCTCCATATATGCGATCGTCGGCGGAATCGTGGCGATCTCATTGTACCAAGAAGTGACACATGAACGCCGGTGCGCTGAAGGACCGTAATTTTCGTTCCACCACATCACTGTCATCAGTATAAATTTTGCGGCGTCCAGTTACACGACATATGGCATATTGGAATTTATCAAGAAATTGGTTTGAGACAGGAATGCAAAAAATGGGGTTGTGGGAAACATCGGACTTTTGGTAGGATTACTGAAAAAACAGATCACGTTTATATTTAGTCCTAGGGGGAGGGGCGGTACAAATTTTGCAAAAGATTCTCTTGATAGGTATACTAAATATACTAAATTAAAGCAACTGAATGTTATCTGCACAAAGAATTCCAAATGATATCTGAAAATGAACTCCAAGTATGACACTAGTCCCCCCTCTTTCTTTCTAGCACCTGTCAGTCTACTTTTGTTATCACTCAGACCAGGTGCAGATTTATTGTTCAAACCAAGTGACAGTAATTAATGTCGGCATTGTGATGTGTAATGTGAAAAGTCAAAAGGCAGACGTGATATTATAACAGGCACAAAGTCATTGTTTTTTTCACCATATGATAATCATAAACTTCTTCCTGATGATGTAATTATTGTATCTTCACAATTATAATCGTGTGAATACGCCAGGGCAAGCTATAATGTTAACCCTTGGATATGTGATCAGGGTGAACATGTCAACACATTTCTGATAGACCAATTGACCTCAGTGATTTGTCTTCAGTTGTATCTATTTGGGTCTTGCAATACCGTCTTGTGCTTTGTCTGTGTAATAAGAGCTCATATTAAGAATGGCTGATATGACACTTTCAAAAGATTCATAGAAATTCTTCTTCCATCTTCCTTAGAAATAGGAAAATATTATCACATACAGTATTAAGTGTAATGTTATAGCACAGAATTTTTCTGAAGGATTGCATAGAACCAGGCAAGTGTAGTAAGAGGAAAAGTGAGTGGAACCACTTAGCATTTGTAAACATTATGGCTGAGATTTATATGAGCATCAACTGGTGCATCTGTATCATATGAGCCTTGAACACATTGTTGGCATAATCATATATATATCCATATATTATACATCAGTATCTCTGAGATAACACTAAACAGTATTGTGATATGCTATAATTTATGTGAAGTGTTCGGAATTATTGAATTATGATCTAAGTTCTAACCTACCAGCACTTTCAGTGGGGTCACTGATATTAGTTATTGTGGGAAGACCGCAATTTGGGGTGTTTTTCAAAGGCCCAGTCAAGATAAGGAAGTGGCACTGGAACAAGGAACACCTGTCAGGAGTGATGTCATCGCGAGTTTGTTATTCAAACAGTTTAGAGTAGTTGTAACTGTCTAGACCTGCTGCTTACTTTTGTGACTTTTCTGCCAACTGTTACCAACTGTTACCTTGGTCTACTTCGTAGAGGAGGCAGTGAGTGCCTTTGATAAAAACATAGTTTGACGTACATTTTCTTAAGAGATGTTAAGGAAAGTGAATTAAAGGCTGTTCACTTATCTGGACTGTTAGGCTTTCCCCAAGAGAACCAGTGATTGACAGATAACAGATAAGATACATTTTATACACAGCTCAGATGTACCCATCTACTCCCCAGTTTCACCCTCAGCTTTGCTCCCTCCTGCCTGTGGTTTCCCTAGACACATCTCTCAGTTACCTCCTCAGACATGTCAGAATGAATACATTGTGCACGTATTTGAGTGTGAAGTCAAGGTGTAAAATAATGGATTTTGGATGCAAATGCAGACATCCCAAACAAGCTGGAAAAAACATTGATTCTTGTCACGTGCTTTTATCTTGTATTCTGTAGTGCAGCACCCTTCACTGATTATTTAACAACTGGAACAGTCTTTGGTTATATATGACTTATGTTGTATCGGTATTAAAGAATTCTGCATATTGGTATTCCTCCTACTAGTAGTAGTGCTATATATTGTAAGCTACAGTAACAATGCAGTATGTAAAATATAGACATGTAAAGTCTGTAGACAGTGTTTCATTTCATTCTGCCCCTGCAGCATCATTAAGCCTTCTCCCTGCTTGCCTAACCTTGAAACCAATTTGATGCCAAATTTCTTCCGGGAGTAGGGTTGGCACAGACGTTGGAGTAAGACTTTCATCATTTTACTGAAGTCTATGTGTAAGGAAACTGCTATTTTCTTTGCAGATGAAGGGCGGATGATAGCAGCAAAGCCACCGCGAATGAGCAAGGACGAGGCCCTGGCACTAGTGGGCTTTATACAGACATGGCAGCAGAAGTGAGTATAGCTCCATCCAAGTTTATTGTTTCATGCTATAATTAGTTTGTTTTCCGTGGTGAAGATGAAACCTGACACTTTCATGCAAAATGTTATGTGTAAATTAAAGATAATAATCATGTTTGATTGTGACTATTACTAGTATTAGTTTAGAAAGTCAAAGGCAAAACTTTATTCTGATTCTCCAATACATAATGTACATCATGTACCTATTTGTTTTTGTTGAAGGCAATGTGGCTGCTGTTTCAAAGATGCCAGAAATGTGGAGAAGTTTAACCTCCTTTTACAAGGACTGATTCTTGTGGCTTTGAACATAATCAAGACTGCTTATCAAGAAGTGAAAGCCAAACAAGAATGCTCATCTTCAGTAAAACAAGAAGTAACACAAGGGAAAACGGAGGAAGAAAAGGGGGAGGAAGAAAACAAGGAAGAAGGTGTTGTTAAGAAACAAACTGAGGAGGGGGAGGAGAAAACAGACCAAGATAATACTGGAGATGTAGCAATGTCTGAGGAAACAACAGAAGAGACTGCTAAAGAAGAATCTGATGAGAAGAATGAAGGGGAGAAGGAGGTTAAGAAAGATGGAATGGATGTCAGATGGACTCTCGAAGAGAGAGAAGGCCTTCTCCATTGTGTGGCAAAAATCTACCAAATGCAGTTTCCTCTGTATACCAGCTACAAGCACTACTTCCACTTGTCCGTTGAGGTAAGTTTGGAAGGCCTAATATATGTTTCTGACCTTACTGTAATACCATGTGATAGATAAAAAGATTTCTGTTTATCAGTATAGGGCAAGGCAGCATGTAATGAATAAAAAGATTAAAAGCATAATTTCTTGAGCCACCTCAATCTTTTACAGCATTGAATACTGCCAAGGCATTAACTTCCTTACAGACATGTATGCTGGTGTTCTAACCAGTTGTTTGTTTCCCATGTTGTACAGGACCTGTCTCAACAGGAGGGGAATGCATTAGGAAACTACTGTGATATGAATGTGAGTTGGATTTGAGTTCTTGGCCTGTCATTGGTATATTTTGAAGAGTGACACAGATTTTCTCTTGAAGTTGATACTTGGTAGAGATGTTTCACACCACTATGTAGTGTAAGTATATAATGTCAATATATTTATTTGTGGTTGCCATTGTTGATGTTATATGATATGAAAGATGAAAGTCCTAGTGATGTAACAAGCTGTACCATCAATTGACCTTACTTTGTTATATACATGTAGCTGAAGACTGTACAGTAATGTGTAGAGAACAGTACATTGTCTTGTGTGGACAGTATTTAACCCAGCCGTCCTCTGCAGGATGTGGACGTGCCTGTGTACCTGCTGAAGAATGTTTACCACCTGTGTGAGCACGGGGGCCTGCTGCTGATCAGGCAGTGTTTCGAGCAGGTCACCCCCGAGCTCCTGCCCTTCCCTCTGGCCCACGCCATGGTGGCCCTCGTCTCTAACGTCCGCGTCTGGTTACACCTGCCTGCCGTCATGCAGTACATCCTGCCCATGAGACCACATGTCATCAGGTCAGTGTACCAACATTTGATCTCAAGTCGATACAGGTACACAGCAGTTCATTCTGTGTTTAGACTTAAGTTGTGTAGCATCACGTAGTGTCAAATGTTGTTTCAGACCAGAAAACAATTTGACCAAACATTGACCCTTTAGATGCCTTTTGTTGGAACTAGAAAACTTCCTCATTTCTTGTGAGATTGATTACAGAACAACTACCTGTTTCAGAAGCCTCAATAGTGGTCAGGGTCCCAGAAGCTTGATTCATGCATATGTGCTAAGATTGACCAGTGATTATAAAACTGGTGTTGAAGGCAGTTATGATTGGTCTCCGTAGTGACTGAGCTTCTATTGGACACTATTTTCATTGTGATAAAAAATCCTGAGTTTCTATCACCGGTTCTGGGAATGGTTCTCTTGAGTTAGAGGTGTATGGCCGCAGCCTTTCGAGGTCCAGTCAGCCCCTGACAGCAAGAGATTGTATAACACAGACCTCCCGTTCCAGATACCTAATCAGATTATCGGAGAAGGACCTGCGGATGACGGGGGCGCGGAACATGGCGGACCTGATGTGGAGCGCGGTGAAGGAGCCGCTGGACTCCCAGCTGGGGTTCGACAGGGACAGCCTCGAGCTGGCCTTCAAGTACTTCACCTCACCTACACTCACCATGAGGCTGGCCGGACTCAGTCAAGTCACCGTGAGTTTGTTTGAACCATTCTTTATTGAATGTTTATTGATTTATAGATATGATTGAACACTTTGAAGGTGAGATTAAGCAATGAACATAAAAGAAATTTAAAGGCTAATAGTATTTTTGATAGCAACATTACAGGTACAAGCATCAAAGGCTGACTTTTAGTCAAGAAAATGATAACAACCTGGCTGATCAATAAAATAACATTGTGGTGCACTGTTTGCCATTGCTGTTGAAGACTAAGGTGGTAACAAAGTTGGTGCTTATGATATGTTTTGTTTTCCAGAACCAGGTTCATGTTTTTACCGAGATGTGCAACAATGACTCCATGGTAGATGTTGAAAGGTTAGTTTGAAAATATCATATTTCTAACAATTCTGTCAAAATTACAATTCCTTTCAATTTTCAATCCAATTTTATATGTATCTTTTGTGGTGTTGACTAAAAGTGATTAAGTATATGTGTTTCTCCCATGTACAGCAATGAGCTTGCTGAATGGCTTGTACAGAATAAGATTGTTGAACATATCTTTGGGCCCAATATGCACATAGAGGTAAGCTACAGCTACGATAAGTTGTATTGTCTGCTTTTCCACACTACCATGTTTGGATTTAAAGAGTTTGTTAAACAATCAAAAGTATATTATAAAATTTGGGACTTTACTTTCATGTCACTACTTTTTAAGGATTCCAGATGTTGCAACAATATTAGAATGCATGCACAGGGAATGTTATTGGAAGAAATTAGCTAAAAGATACAATTTTTTGTGACAACTTTCTGCTGTGAGTATCCTATACTTTTTAGCACTAAACAAGTAATTTGCCCTGCCCTGTGCTAGTTGGTGAAGCAGAGCCAGATGGTTCTGAACTTCATGGCAGCAGAGAGCTGTCTGACATCACAACACCTGGACTGCATCTGGGCAGCTGCACAGGTGGGACATACAGTCTTTCTGACAGTCACAGAATTAGACAAACCATGCAGATGTAGCTATGAAACTTGAAACACAAGTTTTCTTTGAGCTCAAGAATATTCTAATGTGTATGCAGATTACAGAATTTGTCAGGTTGCTGTTCGATAGCTACTGTTCAGTAGGATGTGTGCATAATGCATATATTGAATGCCCCATGGACACCCTAAAAGTTCAGTGACTTTCCAGAGGTCTCTTACATACCATAACACATGTAAGTGTTGGATGTGCATTGTTACATGAAGAAAAAAAGATTTTATTTTGTTGATATTTCAGTTGAAGCACAGCAGTAAGTATGTGCACGAGGTGATCTCTGCCCTCATCAAGCACCTGGAGCCTGCCCTGCTGAAACACCTGCTCAAACTGGTCTCCAGTCTCCACCCATCACAACACACCGAACAGGTCAGACAATTACTATAGGTTAGGGCGAGGGTTAGAGATAGGCATATGGTTTAGGGTTAGGGGTAGGGTTAGAACTAGGGTTATGGTTATGGTTAGGGTTAGGACTAGGGTTAGGATTATGGTTAACACTAGGGTTAGGGTTATGTTTAGGGTTAGGACTAGGGTTAGGGTTATGTTTAGGGTTAGGACTAGGGTTAGGGTGAGGGCTACATTGTAGGGCTAAGGTTAGGATTTGGGTGCTTGTTAGGGTTAGGGTTAGGCCTGGTGATAGGGTTAGGGCTAGGACTAGGGCTAGGGTTAGGGCTAATGTTAGGGTTAGGGCTCAGAGTGCTCAGACTTGCATGACTTTCCTCCCTGTAGACGCTGTACCTGGCCTCCATGCTGACTAAGGTGATCTGGAGTAACGCACTGTCGGCTCACATGATGCAGCAGTCACAGCAGGCCAGTCAACCGGCATTCACACAGATGCTGAAGAGCACTCTGGACAAAGGTAGGTTCATGTTGGATGTAGTGGAATTTTAAGTTTACAGGTTGGGTCTCTTGAGTGACTACTGTAATTAATCTTAGGCTTTTCCCTGCTCCCTACCTGTTACCGAACAAATTTGGTGCTAAATGCTAGTGTAAATGCATTTTCTTTCACAGTATGAGGGGAGAGAAGATTTCCACAGTGTTCACAGTTGAAACAATTCTGTAGTAGTACAATAGAAATACAAAAACTGAAAAAGTCATAATTGCAGTGTCATGCTTTTGTGATAAAAGGACACCCTTAAAACTGCAAAAATAAACCACTGCAAAGAGATTACGGTTTACAGGTAACACTTCAGCAGGTAGAAGGTAGGGCTGCGGACCGGTACACTGTACCGGTCCAATACCGTAAAAATCGTTTCGGTACAGGTCCAAAATACCGGATCATGAAGTAACGAGTATATACCGAAATAGCTAGTTTACACCATGTATATGACTAAAGATAGGTAAATCCTACCACAAAGACGAAAAATTAGCACTGGAAAAGACACCGTCGATTGATTTGAGATCCTCAGTCTCACGAGACATCACGAGAGTGTGGCTGATCCAGGGTTTGGTCAACAAACTCAAATCAGGTCAGAGGTCAGTCATTTTCCCTTCCCTCCATATATTGGCGGCCTTTGTTGCTTTTGTGTTGTGTCTGTATTTTGCCGCGTCAAATTGTTCAGGTACAGGTACAGGTCCGGACCTGTACCTAAACCTCTGTACCGGTACCTGTACCTGTACCTGATGTTACGTTTAGGTACGCAGCCCTAGTAGAAGGCTATCTTGTTCAAGATAACTGCATGTTACCTGCCCCAGAGCAGGCATGTAGCCCTGTACAAGCTGCATGTGCAGCAGAGTTTACAACTGTTCTGTCCTCCCCTAGCCTCCATCCATCGGCAGGCGGACCAACAGAGCACCAGCAGCGGGGACAACAGCGTCAGCGCCGAGCCCAGCCACAGCGGCGGGAGTGACGCGGAGCAGGAGAACGAACACCTGCACCACCATCACCACCACGTGCACCACCATCATCATCACGGGGACGGCAGGGAGCGTAGACAGGGCCACAAGCCTGGACACAGGCTGGCCCAGGGGCATGTATGTCACCATCATCATCTACACCAACATTATATGGAGATGGTGAGGTTTGCATGTGGGGGTGGTCTGATCTTCACATCCAGTACCAAGGAGATAGTACCCAGACAAGGCGTAGTGTAAGAGCACACAGTGCTCAATTGTACATCCACATAATGGGAGCTTAAGGTTTAAACATCTTCACAAAAGATAAGAATTTTGATGCCTTTTTACTTTTGAGAACTGATACTCCCATGAACTTTGTCAAAACTACCTCTATGCATGCTATCACAAGAAAAAGAGACAGAAACCTCCTATTACTGTAGGTATAGAAATCCTACCCACTTGTCTGATTGTGTATCATTTTGGTGCTGGATTGAAAACTGCAGCCACACAGAAGTTAGTGTCTGGTCCTGTCCACATGTCTCATGGTGTCCTCTGAGTTTCTGTATTGTCCCAGTGACAGCACCAGCTCACACTGGGCCAGCCAGGTCCATAACAACGTCATGTTCAAATTTACTAACCCATCTTGACTGTTTCTATAACATCCAATCCTAAACATCTGGGCACTAAAAACTGTTAACTCCACCATTTCCAAGTATATGCACATTATGTACAGTATTTTGCACTTGTATTAAGAACGTTATCATGTAACTAACAACATAGGGCTGTTCCAGAGGGGGGTAGTAGTTGAAGAAAGTCCTTGTTCTAGTTGTTACAGTTTTTCTATTTACATGTATCAATGCATTGATGACTGTGATTCGAAGGTAAAAATTCATTGTTTGGATTATAAACCACCCTAGGACACGTATGTTGATTTCATGGCTCTATCGTAGCTTATTAAAGTAGCCTTTTTTTTGGCATGTCACTTCATATTTTTTCTCTGACATCTGAAAACCAACAACTTGAATTGGTGTGGCCATTTCAATACATAAAGGAGTCATTGTGATGTATGTATGACTGTGCTGTGTCAGGAGGACCACGAGCCCAGCAGCCAGGAGGAGTCATCCCTGGAGCAGAGCCTGGACGTGAGCCGGGAGACGCAGCCCAGCGCGCAGTCCGACGGCAGCAGCAGCGGCGAGGAGGAGGGCGAGAGCGGGCAGGAGGGCAGCTTCAGCAGCGAGCACAGCACGCACAGCCGGGGCAGCGACGGGTCCCAGGGCAGCCGCTCTGAGGGCTCCAGCACGGAGGTGCCCCGCGGGAGGCACCCCAGGGCGGGGAGGAAGCGCGCAGACAGCGAGCAGACTGAGAGCACCAGCAGTGAGGAGGAGGACAGCCCCAAGCAGAAAGGGGCCGTGGCAAAATCCCAGAAAAAGACGGTCAAATCAAAGAAGGGTGCAGAGAAGAAACAAAGGCTGGCCAAAGGGGTGGTGGAAGACGAGAGCATGGACGTCAGTGAGAAGGGGGAGGAGAAGGAGAAGGGAGCTCAGGTGGTGACGGCACCAGCAGCAGAGAAGACAGCAGCAGAAAACGAAGAGGAAGAGGATGATGATCCTCCCACCATCACCACCAGCACACCTCAGAAGAAGGACAAGGACTGTCCCCAGCTGACCCAGGAGGAGCCCATGCTGAGCCAGACCTCCCACTCACAGGACATGCTGGAGGACAGCATGGAGACAGAGATCTATGACTGCAGGGGATTCATTCACCACACCAGGAGGTAAGGAAACATAAGTTTGTTTGTTTATTTAGTATCTCCATTAGTGATACAACATTGTACACTAATTTTCCTGGAGTCCTTGTGTACCTACCTAGTCCCATGACCGAAACTGGTCGTCGGGGGACAAGGCAGACCTTGTAGCAGCAACACAATAAAAGCCAATTCCAGAAAACTAATTGTTCAAGCCAACTGACATCTTTGCACTGCAGTCCATAGAAGCCGTCCAAAATAGTGTCATAGGAGTGCAAAGATGCCAGTAGTCTTGAAGGATTAGCCTCACAAATCTAGTGTAATACTCTCTCCTTGCTATACATTCTGGTAATCTTAGAACAACTCTTGTGCAGGTAATTTTCAAACTTACCTGTAGGTGATATTGCAGAAAAAAAGGATATCGGTTCATAAACTCTCCTTTTGCCTGTAGTAACCTGATGGAGGACATCCTGAGTCCAGATGAGATCAGCTGCAGCAGCTCACAGATCAGTAACAAGTCGGAGAAGAACATGGCAGACTTCGAGGGGGAGGACTCTGGGTGTGAGGAGGAGCTGGCACAGATCAACGCTCACGCCCAGCTGAGCTCACAGATGCACCAGCACCTGGCCAACATGGCTTCCATGTACCACAGTCACTTACCTCATCAAGGTTAGTCCACATGGCCTCCATGTACCACAGTCACTTACCTCATCAAGGTTAGTTGTAGTCACTTACCTCATCAAGGTTAGGAAACACTTCTAGTTGTTCTGTACTTGGGCTTCATTGGTGAAGCAAATTAGATAAGTTGTCCCCTACTAGGTACTTTAGCACAAGTGAAATGCAGACATCTTATAAATGTTTCAATAGAATGGTACTTAAGAAATGTGTTCCTCTTTTCGGTGTCATGGTTTCGTGGTAGGAGGTCACCACAAAACTGTGAAAAGAAAACCATTGTAAACATAAGATTTACAGTATGCAAGGGCACCTTCTAATTTCCTTGTGTTGTCTTGTAATAAACCTGTAAAGGACACCTGCACCACCACCATCATCACCACCACCAGTCTCCGGGCCGCCACAAGAAACATGCCAATGAGTTTAACTTCGAGGAGGTGTGCAAGCCGACCAACACACTACTCTGGGAGCTGGTGCAGGACCACAGTGCTGTAAGTTCTGCTTTTCTTTTCAGGTGTCAGTTACTCATTTTCAGTAAATTGTGGCTTACTTAAATAGACTTTCAAAAGACTTTTTAAGTTTGTTATGGTCCCAACGTACCCAGTGATCATGTATTCACACTGAATTTTAGATGCAATGGTTAGTCATGAAGATGATGAAGTACAAAGACCTGCCTTTGTGATGGCATCTTCTATCATTGACAGACGAGTTGTGGGAAGAACAGACTTCTTCTTGTGTGTTCTCATGTGAACACAGTCCACTTCTGGACTTGTAGGCTTTCTCACAAATGTTGCAGAGGAATACATTTCGTGAGAGCACGCCCAGCTTCCGTAGGATAAGTCTTAAAAGTAGGAGACCCTGATAAACTGTGTCCCCTCCCCCCTCAGGTCCATCTGGGTGAAGGTCTGGCTGTAGAGGCTGAGAAGCTGCTGTGTTCGCTGGTGTGCTGGTTCACAGACAGGCAGATCAGGATGCGCTTCATCGAGGGATGTCTGGAGAACCTGGCCAACAACAGGTGGGAACATGCACTGATATCATCTTGTCAGCCTTAAGCTTGTAACGGGGGAGAACTTGCTATTATGTATAGTTGGAGAAGATGTCATTTTTCAGCTATTAATATAATGGGATGGTTTCCTAGTTGTTACGCCATCCTGTCAAAGATATTCTAGTGTATCAAACATACGATTTTAATTTTTATAAGGAAGATGTAACTATATGTCTGATTTAATGACTGGTAGGTAAAGTCCTACTTAAATTTCTAGTACAAGGAGATTGTTTTCAGTTCTCATGTTTTGATATCTGGTATGATTCTTACAGTAGTTTAATGATTGCTGTTTCATATTTCTCTTGGACAGTTCTGTTGTCGTGTCCTTAAGACTACTGCCCAAGCTGTTTGGCTCCTTCCAGCAGTACAGGAACACCTACGATACCCACTGGATTACCATGTAAGTATGGGCATTCTAACTAACTTTTTACTTCGAGTTAACCTTGCCTTAAAAAGCCTACTAGGTTGTAACTTTGCTTTGAATGACATATAAGACCCAGTATAATATTTGCAGATTTTGATGTTTTGTTTTACAATCCTTTATCCGTTAACAAAATTAGGTGGGCAGAAGAGCAGCGTCAAATGATGCACCACTTCTTCAACAACCTGGTAGCCTACACCACATCTGCCAAGGAGGGGAAGGCCCCAAAGAACCCTCTGTGAGTTTTCTCAACACAGTTGATTCAACATCTTGTTTTTCTAACTGCATGCCCTGTGATTTATGTGAGTCACTGTGTGTTCTTTTTTAAACCTCTGATGTAGAAGAGAAGTAATTTGTTATCTCGCTCCCTGTTTCAGGTACACCCACATGACAGAAGTTCAGGCCAGACTCCAGTTTCTCACCTTTGTCTTCTCATCATTAGCTTCTCCTGAAACATTCCGTAAGTTCAACAGGCCACTCTTCTTTAAAATTGCTTAAAGTGATTTTAGATACTCTTGTGTGAATCAGTTATTAACTGATGATCTGTTCAGGGATGTGAAGGCAAAGTGTAACTTCTAAATTTGGAGTTATACGAGTTGTTTTTCTTAGAACTTTGTTACAGCATTCCTACTCAAGCTAGCTGTCAGTTTCTCCCTACATGTATGTAACAATGAAGTGCTATCCTGTGTTGTACAGTCTGTAGTCATTCAGTTCTCCATGTGTAGCATTATGTCCTGACACCTGTTGTGTGTTCTCGGCAGGTTTGACCCTAGAGCAGGTGGACACCCTCTGGAACTGCCTGGCCACGGACCCTGAGGTGGGGGACGAGGCCCTGAACTGGTTCCTGAACCAGGCGCGCAACAAGGACCAACATGCCATGTCCCTGGACACCTTCAAACACATCTTTGTGGAAAAGGTACAGCTGTGTACAGTGGTCGTCTTCCCTTATAAAACACTGGATGTTATAAGTGCCCCAACTATCATGTGTTTGAGATGACTGAGTCTTGAAGGCTACGTGTCTAACCTTGACCCTACTGCCTAGCCCCATGAGCAATACAAATTTGGTGCCAAATGGCAATCGTAGCTGGCTGAATATTGTCTGGCATGGCTGCAATTTCAATAAAAGAAGAAGAATGTTAATGGTTTCTTTTTTATTTCATTGAGCTAGCAAGTTTTTATCACCAGCAGTTACTGTTCCTATTGAAGATGGAGACAAAAAATTCTCAGATGAAAGTACTGTAAAATTAGAACAATTATGTAGCTGCCAGCATCGTTTTGTGTTGACATACATGACAATCAGCGTCTCTTGTGTGCCCTAGATGCCAGGACTGCAGCCTGAGACCATCACCATGACCGGTCTGAACCTGTTCCAACAGTTGTGCACGCTGGCCAGGATGGTCAGCCCCTCTCCTGACATGCCTGCCCTGGATGTGAGACTCACCTTTCAATTAACTGTTTCTGTACTGAAGCTTCAGTATCCACGCAGTGTATCATTGTAGTTCCTGTTAAGTCCATTTGTTTTTGTTTGTTCATACAGTCAGACCACATCCAGTCATAAGCTACATTAAAAATGTTCTGTTCAATTTTACATAGTTAAGACTCTCATGTCCATCCCCAAGCATTTTCCCTAAGTTCATTGAGTGGCTGTTGAGACCAAGTCTTTGTGGTTTATTTCAAATGGGCATGATTTTTGTTTTAGGACATGACAATTGACTTGATAAGTGAACATAAAATCTTTACCACTAGTTAAGAACACTGTCACTCGTAAGATGAACAGGCTAATGTAATAACAGCGGGTTTGTTACATCTTGTTGCATGTGTTCCATGTGAGTGAACATGCCTTCTCCCTTCCCCCCTCAGGACCTGGGTATGCAGCAGCTGTGGGGGATCGCCCTCAGAGCCAGGGACCCTGATGTCAGCCAGGCAGCCATCCAGTACATCAACAACTTCTACATCAACGGTACAACTAGCATGCTCAACCTCTCATGTACTAACTAGCAGTGTAGCAGTTATATCCTGTATAAAATTTACTTTTTGAAATTTTGTCCTGTTAGATTTCTTCAATTGAATTCTAATTTCTGATTCTGAATATAATCAAAATTGAGCCCTGAGCATTTCATTTTTTTAATAGTTACATTTGATTAGATATGCTTAATGAAGATCCAAGTGACTGTTACCACAGACCACATCATAGTTCCCATCAAAGTATCATGAAGTGTATGTTATGTAATGGGAGTTTCTGTTTTCAGCTGGGAATGGGAATCTAGAAAGGGAACATGAGTTTGTGAAGAGGTGCATGGACAGTCTGCTCAAGGTGTCAGCCACACTCAACAGGGTAAGATCAACTCTCTGTAATGTTTTTTTGTGAGCAATTTGAAGATAAAGAAAGCTTTAAGATTTATGAGCATATTGCAGTTTGTCTTATTAAGTGTATATGTCTTTAACTTGATGTACCTTTATTTGCAGTGCCCAGGCTCCAGTCTCCTGGTCCTTGAGAGAGGGTTAGATCTTCTCAAGTCTCATCTGGAGGTCTTCAGAAGAAGGTTGGTTCTGGTTTTGTACCACACACCTGCACAGACATCTTTCTTGAAGAGTCTCTAATAACCTTTGCCATTACAAAGAAGTTGTTTTTACTGCAGAACAATCCAACATCCAACAAGCAATATAGAAAAGAACTGTAATTTCACCACAGTGATATGAAATAACCTGAAAATCATCCTAAACAACAGACTCTGCATAACCTGAAGTACCAGTATCACTAAGCCTGCCAGGGTTAGTGATACTCTCCCCAGTTTTAAGCAATCACAGTCCAGTACTAGTCTTAAATTTTGCATGTGTCTATCACCAAGGTACACGTACCACATGCGGATGTGGCAGCTGCAGGGTCGGGGGATCCTCAGTCACCAGAAATACTTCAACAACAGGAACAACTCCAAGATCCACGTGGTGTGTCCAGCCTGCTGGCATGACAGACAAGGTAAGAACTACCTGCATTTTATGTGTGGGGGTAAACATTAACTTGGACAAGTAATGTTATCATCAGAGGTGAATGACTGCTGTGAGATGTCAACAACTGTTTGGGGTAGAAGTGAAAAGATATATTTTTGTGTCGCTTTAGGAAAGTGAAGTCTCGTTCCCAGCAAGAATTTGTCTTGTATACTTGATGCATGACAAGAGAAACAGGATTTACCACACAAATGTACTTGTTTGGCTGTAAGGTGTGGAAAAGATACATTGATATCTACCTAGAGAAGTGAACCCAGTCAGAAGTCATAATGTACCCCAACATTTTATAGATTGAATTGTCAAACATTGGCAATGCTTATGATATATTCTATATCCTCCCTGCCCCCCAGCTGACCATCGAGATGGACTCCCAGGACCTGGTGGCTGACCTGAGGGCGGAGGTCACACACTGGTTCGAGCACCTGTCCAGCCAGGGTCAGGTGCCCAGCTCGTCCCAGGACTCCTCTGCGGCCATGGCGGCCCTGTTCGGCAGCTCGCTGCAGGGGCCGGTCCGCATGATCTCCCAGGGGAGGGAGCTCACCGCTGAGAACATGGACGAGAAAACTCTACAGGAGATGGGCTTCAAGGACCTGCAGGTAACATGAAATGCATTTATGAACAAAGTAGATTTAGTAGTAGCATAGCTTTTTATGTTTAACAGTTACTGGTGTCAGTGGTGTGTAAACAATGTTTTGTAGACAAACAATAAAAATGTGACAATGTACAAGCTCAGTTTTGTTACTTCTCTTGTTGATTATATCAACACTGCAGATATTTTACCTTTAGTATCTTATGTAAAACTATAACTGCTCCATGTCGAGGTCATCATCACCATTTTCTTACCCTTACAGATTTTGATTTTGGGTGCTTGGAATGCTGTACAGTTGAAAATGGGGCCAGAACTTTACATGAAATATATTGTCCAGTTCTTGTATAAAGCTACCTTCTAATCTAGCAAAAAATTGTTTTTCCACATCATGTCATACATTTTTCACAGCCTAAACCTTAATTTCATTATCCAAATGTGACTGATTCCTCCCTTGTCTCCCCCCCAGCTGGTGTTTGTGTCTGTGGGTAACCCCCGTCCCCAGAGCAGACGTCAGGAGAGTTTCCTGCTCCCCCCCTCCCTGCTGCCGGAGCCCCCGCGGGACAACCTGCCCATGCTGCTGCTGCTGCGCGAGCCGCACTTCGACAACCTCATGGACCTGCTGCAGCTGCTCAGCACATGGGCCTGTCCTGGGAAGGTCGGTATTAAATCTTGTATCATCCTCATCTACTGTATTCTGCATCTGCAGTCATAAGAAAACGTCCTTCTATGCAAAGTAGGAAAAGGGGTTAGAATCTTCTTAAGTTGGAAATCTATGGAATTTCTTTATTTCAGGTTCTTTGACCCATAGTTTGTATATGTACAAGTCGGCTGTTACAAACATTACTGTACATGTACATTACAACAAACATCAGATGATAAGGGACTTCTTTTGATGTACATATAGTTCTAAACCAAAATAGATAGCATAGGAATATCTTCAATATAGCAGTTCAGTTGCATGGGATAAGTGATCTTAATCTTCATGCTGCATGCTGCCTTACCACATAACCAATAGAGAATCAGTAGCAAAATGTGTGGTAAGGTTAAAGCCTGCAGCTGAAAATATTTTTGGATTTCAGGAGGGAGACAGTGAGGAGGTGATGAAGGCGAAGCTTGCGCTGGAGAACCGAGGACAGCTGCTGTCCCACAAGGTGTGGGAACTCCTCATGCTGCTGCCCACCTGCCGGGACCTGCTCAACGCCTTCACACGGGGCGTCAGGAAGGTACGCTGGCACGTCTACTGTCTCCACTGTCGCATACATCATACTTTCAAGTACCAGAGTTATCAACCCAGAAATTTGTTTTGTTTTTTTCCCTAAAATTATCATAGAGTGAAACACAGCACCAAGTACAGTATGGATATCCTCACAGGCAGCATTGCCTGTAAAGCTGATATGTTACACCAAAGGGTGGCTGTACCAGCTATATAGGTACAGATAACAGCTACAGCGTAGTGCACCAGAAGGACTTGTGCATCTCAGTCATTCACAGATGGTCCAAGCTATTGGAATTTTTTTAAAAAGCTGTGAAAAGTGGGGTGTCACGATTAATGTCCTGGTTGTGCTCATCAGTGTGTCAGGGACGTATCGGATATAGCTGTTTATTTAGGAAAATGTGAATGCATTAGAAAGTATGCAGTACCATGTTATAGTCTCCCAATCCCTAAACCTCTGCGCCCTGCCTACAGGTCTCCCCACCAGCAGAGGCAGAGGACGCTGAGGCCGGCGGCAGTGATGACCAGCTGCCGGCTGACCACTGGAGCCGGACCCTGGGCCAGGACAACCCTCACAAGCTCCTGTACTGTCTGCAGATCATTGAGTCCCTCAGTAAACCCAGGAGGTCCAGACATAGGTCCTCTGTAAGTGTCAGGGGAAAGATTAAAGTGATTCATGTTTCAATTTTGGGATCTTTAGCACTGAGGTGGCATACATGACGGTATTTTTCAATACCCTGCTATATCACTCATGCTTTTTACCCATGTCACCATTTTAGAATGGTCAACTGCTTGCAGATAGCATGATGATTGAATAAGGCATTGAGATCCATCTCATCTATCCCTTACTCTTGATTTATTCAACCATTGGGGCTCACAAATGATATGCCAACCAGTTCTCTCCACCCTTCTCGGTTTTCTGTTCATCTCAATGTTTTCATACAATGTACAAGTTACCATTAGATTTTGTATTCATCGTGAATCGCTTGTGGTTTCCAGACGGGGAGCCAGTTAGGAGGAGGAGACCAGTACAGTGTTGAGCTGGAGCTGCCTGTAGAGGGGCTGCAGGTGGGACCTGCCTGGACACAACATGTAAGAACAGCTTTTACACATCCAACTTGAAGTCCTGTCAGAAATGATAAACGCATATTGTACCCTTATTCCTTATTACGAAGCAATCAGAAATCAGCACGGTCCATGGTTCATCACAAGCACATTCTTGTTAACGTATATAATGATTCAGCAAGGTTTCCTGCACAGAAAAGATTATTAGCTAAACTTGGTTTTTAAATTGTTGACTCAAGCTATTTTATTTAGACTCCATGCAGTCATCTTTATTTTTGCACATTTATTTTTGCAGTTCATCTCTACTGGGGGTCTGCAGCACCTACTGAGTATCTTTATGTCCGGCTGCCTTCAAGCACAGGAGGGGAAGAGATGGAGTGAGGTGGGAATTGTCTTGTAACATCTGCATGTTCCTTTGGATTAATCTTCAGTATACACCAATAATAAGTCAGTTGAAACTTTTGTTAAGTACATTTGTTTTAACAGATTTCCTTTTTTAATCCACAGTGGCAGCAGGACACTCTGGCCCTTCTGTTAAAACTTCTCTACCACTTTGCCATGGAAACTCTGGAGATCACGCCCAGTTCGGAGGACAGTGTGTTCGAGGCGGACACCAGCGGGGACTATGAGACCCCCAGGAAACGGTCCCGACACAGCCGCAGCAAGAAGTCCACGGGGGACCACGAGAAAAGTTCAGTGCCAAAGATTCGATCCTCGGTTCTCCAGATCATGGACGAGAACCCGATGCTTGAGCGGCTGATGAGCGTCCTGTATGAGGCGGCGGCTCCGAGCGACGCGGGCAGCGTGCTGAGCGTGTACTGGGGGAAGGCGGAGGTGGTGCGACACGGCATGAGGCTGCTGGTGTCCTGGGTGTGCAGCGTCCCGGAAGTGGCCAACTCGCTGGCCAGGACCAAGCAGTTCCAGGCCTGGCTACAGAGACTTGTACTGGATGCACCAGAGGTATGGGTGCACGCTGTTCCTTTGCTTATACTGTGTGTCTATTCAGTGTTTTAAAGCTAAAACTGAAAGTTTTGGGAACTCTATTCAGTGTTTTTACTCATCATGATTCTGTAGAAACTTGTATTCACATCATTTATTCATTTATTTTTGACAGGGAAAATGCTGATGATTAAGACAGAAATGATGATATTGTAGCCCATGTGTCATTTACTAATAATTGGTGAACCAACAGGTTTGGTGTTCTGCTATCTTAAATTTGCTTGTAGCCTAAAGTGCTTGTAGCTGTGTGTTGAGTTGTTGTGTTGCTGTCCCAGCCCACAGTACGACGTGAGGCGTGCAGTGGCCTGTACAAGCTGTGCATGTCCACCACCAGCGAGAGTCACACCTTCATCTTCTCCCTGCTGTCTGCCCTGCTGAGTTTCCTGTCAGCAGCACAACTCATCACACCACCACTAGAGGTAGGGGAGCAGTGGTCTGATATTTGTGACCTGTGAATGTTTTCTGTAAGGTGTATTAGAGGCTGAAAGAAACAAAATGGTGGGACATACTTTTATGTTGTTGTCAAGGGTTTCTGTATTGCAGCTATTGCTTGTATTTTTGCACAGCATCCAATTTCCTAGTAGGTACTCCTGCCACTGACCCTAATTTCTCAGGGAAGAATGTAAGTTATAATTGTTACCGTATTGAACGGTGCTTTACCCAGTCGTAATTATTGACCTGACAACAAACAAGGCAGTCCATCCCCATCTTCTATCTGTTAGTCGTAAAATACATACTGACAGTTGTATGCTTCCATTTTATTTAGTATGGATGAATTTCTGAAAAACTTGCTAAATGATAATTGTGTTGTTTCTAAAGCCTCCTGATGATGAGAAGGGTGAGCTGTACGGCCCAGGGTGTAAGGATTACTTCTGGCTGCTGTGCCGACTGGTGGACCACGCCATCAACCCGGAGGTCCTCCACCAGGCCCAGGAGGACAACATCGAGATCGTGGACGTGGACACGCTGGCCAGACATCTGGCAAAGTGCATCTCCGCCAGGAAGATCCACGAACAGAGACACAACACCGTGGACGACGATGCCCTGTGTGGGCTGCTGAGGCTGTGCACGGCTGTGGCCAAGCACAACCCTCCGTTCAAGTACTCCAAGCACGGCCAGGAGCTGGTCAAGGTGATATTCGAGTGTCTGTTCAAGCTGCCCACCATGGAGGACAGGGACCAACCCAAGTGCAAGTCGCAGAACTGCCGCTCGGCGGCGTACGACCTCATGGTGGAGCTGGTGAAGGGCTGCCTGGACAACTACAAGCTGCTGCACGGGAAGATGATGGCGCAGCACACGCAGAGCGTGCACGCCCCGTACCCGTGGAACTACTGGCCGCACGAGGACGGGCGCTCCCCGTGCGGCTTCGTGGGGCTGACCAACCTGGGCGCCACCTGCTACATGGCTTCCTGTATACAACAGTTGTACATGATGCCCCAGCTGAGGGCGGCCATATTGGCCTCCAAGGTCAAAGAGGACATACAGAACGTGGCCACGCTGATGGAGCTGCAGAGAATGTTTGCCTTCCTTCTTGAGAGCGAACGGAAGGCGTACAACCCCAGAAACTTCTGTAAGGTGTACACCATGGACAAACAACCCATCAACACCGGAGAGCAGAAGGACATGACCGAGTTCTTTACTGACCTCATCACCAAACTGGAGGAGATGGGACCCGAGCTGAAGGACACCGTGAAGAAGTCCTTCGGAGGCGTCATCACCAACAACGTGGTGTCTCTGGACTGCACGCACGTGAGCCGGAACCTGGAGGAGTTCTACACCGTCAGGTGCCAAGTGGCAGACATGAAGAACCTATACGAATCCTTAGATGAGGTGACCGTGAAGGATACTTTAGAAGGAGACAACATGTACACGTGCTCCCAGTGCGGCAAGAAAGTGCGGGCAGAGAAGCGGGCGTGCTTCAAGAAGCTGCCCAGGTACCTGTGCTTCAACACCATGAGGTACACCTTCAACATGGTGACGATGATGAAGGAAAAGGTCAACACACACTTCTCTTTCCCCCCCAAGCTGGACATGAGCGTGTACACCGAGGACTATCTCATGGGCGAGGAGGGCAGCAGGCAGCAGCTGGATGGTTACGAGTATGAACTCATAGGGGTGACGGTGCACACGGGAACGGCAGACGGGGGGCACTACTACAGCTTCATCAGGGACAGGATAGGGACGGGCGACAAGTGGTACCTTTTCAACGACGCCGAGGTCAAGCAGTTCGACTCCACACAGCTGGCCTCGGAGTGCTTCGGAGGAGAGATGACGACCAAGACGTACGACTCGGTCACGGACAAGTTCATGGACTTCTCGTTCGAGAAGACGCACAGCGCCTACATGCTGTTCTACGAGCGGTGCCAGCCCGAGGAGGAGCGGCAGAGGGAGATGCCGGAGAAGTTCGACCTGTCCAAGGACCTGTCGGAGTGGATCTGGCAGGACAACATGCAGTTCTTGCAGGACAAGAGCATCTTCGAGCACACCTACTTCAACTTCATGTGGCAGATGTGCAGCTACATTCCCACCACCCTGCCGGACCCCACGCGGGAGGTCTCCCTCCTGTCGGCCAAACTCACGGCCTCCTTCGTGCTGGAGACTCTCATCCATTCCAAGGAGAAGCCCACCATGCTGCAGTGGATCGAGCTGCTGACCAAACACTTCAACTCCAACCCCCAGGCCGACGAGTGGTTCCTGGACCACATGGCCCAGGACGACTGGTGGCCCATGCAGATCCTCATCAAGTGCCCGAACCAGATGATGCGGCAGATGTTCCAGAGATTAGTGGCGCACGTGATCAACCAGCTCAGACCTCGACACGCCCCGTTATATTTACAGCCCGTGATTGAAGGGGAGGGGAGTGTCGAGGACATCGGTTGTTTCTCCTGTGTGACAAGATTCATCAAGATGCTGCTGAGTCTGGTAAGTCTTCAGACTGTACTCCAAATGTACAAATTACAAAACAATTATGCATTGTTTTTACAGTTGAGTGAATGGTAAATGGTTTGTTGTTTTGGAATCCTATACATTTTCATGAATTATATGATAACCACTCACTCACTCACTCACTCACTCACTCACTCACTCACTATAACCAGGTAGACAAATACAGTCATGTAAATAGCCTTATTTGTCTATTAGTTTATTAGTTTTAGTATTGTACCTGCTTGTAGTACATGTATATGTCTCATTTTGGTATGATGTGGAGACTGAAATTTTGTCACATTCTCCAAGTCTGAAAACTCAGTTTCTCAAATCTTTATTGATCATGCAATGTAGATTCTTTGCAATGCACAACACAAGACTACAGTTTTCAGGTCATTATAATCCCTCAGCAAAAGTATTTCTTTGAAGAGGTGAGGAATCATTTTTGCATATTCCTTCCAGCTCGAGCACGGTGTTCGGCCCAACAGCAAACACCTGACAGAATACTTCTCCCTGCTGCTGGACTTCGCACAGAAGGGGGAGGAGGAAAAACACTTCATGATCGCCATAGAGGCCATCTCCATCATGGCCAACTTTTACCTGGGCAACAAGTCTCCTGATTATGTAAGTTTGGGGCACTTCACTTCAGGTTATAAACACACATACATATTGGTAAAGGACTTGCTGCTATTTTTAGATTTTAGATTTCTGTGCCGTGCAACATTACCTTGTACAAAATCATTTGCTAAAAATAAATTCACCAGGAAGAAGCCTGGTCTTAAGAAACATTTTCGTACCTGTTTTGGCACATCTGGTCCATTAAGTGGCACAACGTTAGTAGATATTTTTCACTGCCAGAAAGATCTAGCTGTGTGGCAAAGTTGGCTGTGGCTGTAGACATGCGTCAGACATAAGCCACTACATTAGCCTCATTTTCACTGATGTACAATAAATGAACAAGAATGTGTCTTCTCTCCTCCCAGGTAGAGGTTGTGTCTGAGGATGAGGAGGAGGAAGAGGATGATGATGTGATCACCCTGCCGGAGGAGAAGTACCGCCCGACGTCACTGGAGAAGATGATCGCCCTGGTGGCCCTGCTGGTGGAGACGTCCCGCGCCGAGAGGCAGCTCAGCCTGTCACAGAACGACCTGGCCGTGCTCACCACTGGGAAGGTCAGTTCAGTTCTGTTTATCCTCAGTTTAGAGCAATGCGAAAGAGAGGGCACACACACAAAAAAAAAAAAACAGTACAAAACATAACAAAATCAACATTAGCAGTAGCAAAGCCACATTGCATTACTGCAAAAATATCAATTGGGACTAACTGCATTACCTTCATAGTTCGCAATGTGTGAAAAAAGTTGAAGGTCCCTGGCAATGTGTAAAGAATAGCCAGGGTCTTTCAACGTTGACATGTTATCCATAATGCATCACAAAGCGCATGCCCACTTCAAACAGTGAACTAGCTCATTATTTGCCTTCTGAAACACCTCTCCCCTTTCCCGTTATCCAGGGGTTCCCGTTCCTGTACCAGCAGGTGCGGGACAACATCAACCTGCGGCAGACATGTAACCTGATCTTCAGCCTGACGCGCTACAACCCCCGCCTGGCCGAGGCCATCGTGTCCATGATCTTCCACTCCATCGCCAAGCTGAACCCCGACGGCTCGCAGCCCTTCTTCAAGCTGCTGTCCATGCTGGTGGAGTTCCTGGGGGGTCCCCCGGGCATGCCCTCCTTCACACAGCTCATCCTCAACAGGATATGGGATGTGAGTCTCGTTTGTGTCATCTTTTGGCAAGTCGAATAACCTCCCCTCTGTATAACACACAAGATCATATAAGCACATCATAACAAGAGCCCTGCATTTCTATTTTCTGGTGTACATAGTACATCTATCAACTTCTTTCTACAATGATGTGTAGGAATAACTACAGTTATACCTGCTCAAGAAGAAAATATGGTCTTTGTTGACAGGTGGTTACTATAGACAGGATTCTTAGTAGAAAAAAAATATCCTTGGGACCACCAAAAAGTGGCCAGGTTGTCCTTAATATGTAGTGTATGTCTCTTGTACTTCAGTTTTTGCTTTCAGGTTTAAGTGTATACTTTTTTTCCTAAGGTGACTGAGTACAACCCGCAGCAGTGTTTTGACTGGCTGGCTATCCAGACACCACGTAACAAGCTAGTCCACGGCTGGGTGCTGCAGTCCATGGAGACCTGGGCAGAGATGTACCTACTGGCCTCCAGTAACATCAGGGTCAGGAACTGTGAGTACCAGCAGGCAGCACTTTTACACTAGATCACAAAAATGGTCTTTGTTACATCTTAGGCTACAGCAAGTAAATTTAATGCATGGCATCCTCTGCAGATTTTTATTCCTGTATTCAAGAAAGTGACACCAGTGTGTACTGTACACTAGTACTGAAGTATGCCCATTAGAATTTACAGAGGGCATTTTTCTCCATGTCCAAGTTTGCTAGAAGTAACTAAGTACATGTATTTGACAAGTAAAGATTTGTCATCCTTGTTAGTTGTTACATTGTAGGTTGCTCAGTGCTCTTTATTATATTTTCCTGAATAATGTACATGTCCTTGGTCCCTCCCTGTTCAGCTGCCGGGTTCCTGTTGGCTTCCCTGGTCCCCAACAACCACTTCAGACAGATGTTCCGCTCGGCACGGAACCTCCACAGCCCCAACAAGGACATCATGATGACACCTGAGGCCACCACCATCCTACACCAGGTGAGCTACTGATCTACGCAACTTTTCACCTTTTACTTCAATTTTCACCACAAAATAAGGCTCATAAGAGCCACTCACATGTTTTGGGTTACAGTACTGGACTGTGAGGACAGATGTCTGTTTACCTAAGTTTAAGGTTGTACCCATTTGGGAAGCATTCACTAAGAAGCTTGTTCCATAGTCGTGTGGTTTTAGGAAAGAAGCTTTCAGCTTGGAACGAACTTCCTCCTGAGATATGGAGTATGAAAGGAGAAAGGGTAATATGCTTTCTAAGAAGATGCAAAACCTGTCCTTGCAGAGAAAGTTTGGAGTGGGGACACAAAACATACAGGATGGCAGACGGAGTTGGATGGAAGCACTCTAGATCTGGTGTTTCGGCCATGTACAGTACCGGTATCTAGCATATATAAACTCTATTGATAACATTATGTATGTACTGTCCTTGCCCAGGTGTACTCCCTGCTCCTGCGCCTGTTGGGTCGTGCCCGGATCTATGCTGACCACACGGCCCACGGGACGGTCAAACTTGTGCAATACTTTGCCCTGATGACTTACTGCTTAGTGTCCAGAACAGAGAAGCTCATGGTAAGTTAGAGATGAAGAACTTTGCAGGAAAGATATTCCTGTAGTACTTATGGGACTGTATAGTGCCTGGTCTTCAGTTATGCTGCAAGCTGGTCATTTTATCCATAGAAATCCAAGTGAAGCATGCTAGTTGACTTTTTTTACAAACAATATTTGGCTTCTGCAGCAATTTATAACAGAGATGATAAATGACTCAAAGATTATAAACAACCTATTAGATATTTTGGTAAATGCTTGTTTAAAATGATGTTAGGTCTGTCCTTTTCCTTTTAATTGATAGTCTCATATTCTCTATCCACAGTTGACCAGGTATGTGAACGACCTGTGGCAAGTGTTACATCCTAAGCTGACAGAACCTGCCATCCCCATCAACCACAACAAACAGGTAACGTCCATCATTATGACTGAAACAACAACTCTTTACTAGACCAGGCAGTAGTAGTAGTAGTGTAGTAGTAGTAGTACACATATCACTGCTGTTGGGGTCACTGACATGGATGGGCAGCAGTGGACTAGTCTTTACACCATGTTTACAGACAGACACATTACATTACATGGATGGTATAATCTGTAAATTACTAAGAAACCACAAGTTGAAACATTATTGTGCAGTATCTGTAGCTAACAGAAATTGAAAAATTGTGTGGCATTTTTATTAAGCTGTGCTGAGGACATGTATTTCCCTTTTGTATCCAAGCTAATGTCCACTTTAAAAGTGTTATAGTTTGATATTACATGTATGTTATTGTTCCTGGTGCTGCAGGCCCTGCTGCTGTTCTGGCATCATGCCTGTGTGGACTGCCCAGAAAACATCCAGCTCATCATTCAGAACGCACACATCACCAAGAACATTCCCTTCAACTACATACTGTAAGTTTCACTCAGTCTGCTTCTCCATATAGAACTGCAGGGATTAAAGGGGTGTTGGTTACATTAGTTGGAAAACTATTATTTACTTGCTGTCTGGTTTATCATCTGTTGTCCTATATTTGCAAGGGTTTTTATAGACATACTTCAGATCTTGAGGGTTGGCAGAGTGCAAGCTTGAACTGTCCTTGGGTTGACACTATGAAATGTATAGTGATGACTGTTTTCTTTTAGAGATTGTAGTAAGAATTCTGGATAGCTTTGCTTATGTTTTTCTTCCATGTTGATGTTCCAAGATCTGGACCTAATTCTCATTATATTTTACTGGTATACATTTTGGATTGTGCTCAAATAAAACGTGTTCCCCCCCCCCCCCCAGAGCGGACCATGATGACCAGGAGGTGGTGGTGTTTAACCGGGGCATGCTGCCTGCGTACTACGCCATCCTGCGCATGTGCTGCCAGATGTCTGCTCAGTTCGCCCGGCAGCTGGCCTCCCACCAGAACATGCAGTGGGCCTTCAAAAACCTCACACCGCACGCCAACCAGTACCCTGTGGTGAGATACTTTCTGCTGTCATGTGTCATTGTTTTCATTGTACTGACTCTACCTGTGAACTCATCACACCAAGGACTTATCACACCACGAACATGTGCTCTGTTTTGCATTACATTACTACGATTATGTGCAAACTGCAAACTCAGAAATACGGCAAACTCTTGCCTTGAGATTTTAGCAACAGATACTTACATATATTAATAAATGCTTCTACAGCAGTGTTCTAGCCGGTGTCATTTGGCAGAATTTCGGTCATGACGGTAAAAAATGTTGCCCAAAAGGTCATCTTTGGGTGTAAAGATGTGAAAAGAGATGTCATTAAACTAACATTTTAGAGGGTCAAGATTTCAAAATTTTCACTAGGGGAGCATGCCACCAGACCCCCTGAAGATTGTCACAACTTTGGTGCTCGACATGATGTTACATGTAACAAGTAGAACACCAGTCTACAGTTTTCACATGACCTGCCTGTCATCCCCCAGGCTGTGGAAGAGCTGTTCCACCTGATGCAGCTGTTTGTTGCCAGGCGACCAGAGATGACCAAGCAGGAACAGCAGGACATCGCAGCCTTCAAACGTGCCACACTGAACTGCTACCTCAACTGTCTGGAGGGCAGGTCCTGCTGGACCACTCTCATCAGGTAAAACAGTGTGCTTACCTAGGTTTTCCCTAGAACTCTCATTAGGTAACGAAGCATGTAGACAACCAGACTGGCAGACCCTTCTACTGTGTTATGCATGGTGGAGTTAGATTAAGGGTACTTTCAAAACAGAAGACTTAAAGGATTTTCACATTTCTGATCTTCTACAACTTTGAACAGGCATAAGGAGTCTTCTTCCAGTACTGTGCACCATCGTCTTCTCTGGTAGAAATGGCAGCTTGGCTTAGAAGTAATTATCAATGATAGCTGGTTATAGTCTAGTGTGATAGCAGGCTCAGTGGGGTACATTTTGCTTTCTTGGGAGGAGTGGGGGATTTAGAAAGTCAGTGCCTCATTTTGTTGGTGATCAAACTCTCAGAGTTTTGTAATACATTTCAAAAAGTGCAGTACTGGATAGTGAGTGAGTGTGAGAGCAGTACACCAATATGCTTTGGTAATTTTGAGGAGAGCAGCTGTAGCTTAAGATATTGCTATATCATATCTGTGTTGTGCTGAGTCCTCTGTGTTTTGCTGTTTCAGTGCATTCCGCATCCTACTGGAGAGTGATGAGGACCGGCTTCAGGTGGCCTGCCACAAGGGACTGAGTCTCATGTGTGAGGTGGGTGGAGTTACTTTCATCTGCTTTGTCACTGACAGGTGTAAATTAAAGTGGGCTGTAGAGATTTTGTATTTTGGAGAATGTGATGGGAAACATTTTGCTGGTTTTCTAGCACAATATGAATACAGTGTATAGAGATATGTTACTAGCTCTGTTTAAACACTAAATTGTGCTCAGCAAAAGTAAAAGCTAATAACATTTTGTTTCTTTATTCTTAGCAATGGAAAAATAAAATCTTTTTGTTTCTGCATCAACTTGAATGAAATATTCCTCTTTTGTTCCCAATGAAATGTTTTTTGTTTTATTTTGACTTGTGTAATTTTGCGTGCTTGATCTCTCCCCAGTCCTTCAACACATTACACCTGATGTTCCATGAGGCCACAGCCTGCCATGTGACAGGAGACCTGGTGGAACTGTTAGCCATTCTCTACTCCATACTGGACACCTGCACCAAGTACATGGACAAAAAAGGTCAGCCAACAGTCAGACTTCAGCTGGGTTACTGTGTGGATACTCTGTAGATATTATGAAATTCAATGTAAAAGGATAATAGTCTCTTGTACTTGAATGGTTAGGGCTTTTTGGAAGAAGTGAATGTGACTAAGGTTTTAGTGTGGGGGGAAAAGATGTGAGTTTATCAAAAGAATTCAACTAAACAATAGGACAAAAGAAGTAATAGTCAAACCTTCCCAAAAAGGCCACAGGGGACTGAGGTAAAGTGGACAGGTGGTCGTCTTTGGCAGGTCACTTAATGCTTGCACCTATGGAAAAAAATGGGACCAGGAAAAGGTAGTTGTAATAGCGAACTGGCCAGCTTAAAAGAGGTGGCCAGTTGGTCAGGTTTGACTGTACCAGTTTGCTGGTGAAACGTACAAAACAGCTCTATCCCTGACACTTTGGTACTTTTTTTCCATCAGAAGTAAAGCAGGCCCTACTACAGTGGCAGGAGAAAATGGAGCTGGGCAGGAAACTCATGACCCTGCTCAACTCTTACACCCCTCCTGAAGTCAGACAACAGTGCTTCGGTAAGTCAACACCATCCATCCAGCTATAAGTATAGACATTCTTTTCTTGTCCATAGTACATAATGTTATGTGGAAGTTCTGGTGCACCTATGTATGACCTAAACGGCTTTCATTACATCATTGAAGGTTAGACAACCAGGTCAAACATTATGTAATAATAAAACATTGTAATGGGTAGTACGAAGAAGGCTTCTAAGATCAGTCCACAACAGGCAGGAAGAAGCCTTACTCGACTGTAGACAGTATCAAGTATCAAGTACATGTACAAAATAAATCAAGCAAGTAGATAAATTCTCTGAAGAATCAAATGTTTCAGCAAGCGTGTGAGTGATCGACCATCCTTTAGCATCCATTTGATTGAGAACGAGTTTATAACCTGTATAGATAAAAAATCAGTATCTGAATTGATATGTGAGTGAGCTATCTGAGATACTCTTTCTCCATAGACTGACTTATATCTGGTGTACACATTGTACTTCCACAGAGGTTCTGCAGGTGCTGGTGTCCCTGTGTCCCCGGGAGTGTGCCCAGAGCTTCATCCCCATCCTGCAGCATGCCCACGCCAACTTCCAGAGAACCAATGTGCCAGGTATTGTGGAACACTACCACATGGCATGTAAGCATGATAGGAGTTTGCACTTTGTTGTGTGAGATGTGCCCGTGGTGTGGTGTGGTGTGTTGTCAGTAGACATACCTTTGCTGCGCACACTGCATTATGTAACAGATTGTAAATGCACTAGACTGCACTGTAATTGCACTAGAAGATACCATTGATCCTATCCTCGCTGTGCTTTTGTCCTTTGTTGTGAACCAATTCAATTGTTACACATATGACCTGCACTGCTTTGCTAAATAACAGAAGCTTACTTTTGATGTGCATTTTTGTGATGGATTCAGTCACCAGCTGCTATTGTCCACATGCTGGAAAAAATTACTACCGGTAGTACTATTAAAACAATATCTTAAATCTATGTATTCACAGAAGCTAAAGAATATAGCACTATAAGTTTTTTAAGAAGCATATTACTGTAAGATTGCTGTAGATACATATCATTCGTATACTTGTCTGATCTGATATAAGATTATCTGCTGGAATGTGCTGTGCTTGGCTACACAGCTTTAAGAGAGTCTGTGTTTTCCTTCTCTGTCTCTACAGTCACCCTAGGACCGTTCTTCCCCCACCGTGGAACCAAGGCTGTTCCCAACAAGGCCAACATCCGTCCTCCCCGCCCTGACATGCAGATGTTCCTCCACCCTAACCAGGCAGAGGCACACAGGGTAGGTTACCGTACTCACAACTTACAGTGAGTACCGTACTCACAACTTTTTCCAAGTGAGCCTCGCTACACAGTACAAACATTTAAGTACATGTTACTGAAGGCAACGTTCAATATTTCGATGTCATGTGAGGACAACATAATGCTTTCATAGTAAAAGTCAGTTATGATATTGTGTTGAATGAAGATGTATAATTGTGAGAATGTCTGCTGTACCCAGGGTGAAGATGAGAACTATGACCGTGCTATGGACGAGTTTTTCTACCCCTATCACAAGTTCATCGACATCCTGTGCCGGGTGGCAGCTAACCACGATCTCATGCCTGATGCCTTCATCAACCTCAGTAAGTATCGGCAAGAAACTTTGACAATCAGAAACAGTGTAGAACCAATGCCCACAACAGTGTTCTACATCAGCATCAAGCTGAGTGTCCCGTCAAGCAAACCAACAGCCTGGCTACTAAGCTGAAGACTGCAGTCTAAGCATAAAAAAGAAGTAGCCAACAACAATCAGCTGCCATATTGGCTTAAGTTTTTCTGCTCAGCCAGTTGTGTTTCTGTGTTGTAAATGTGCATGTACCTGCGTCAGACAAAGTGTATCTCTAAGATATGCTAAAGAAAATGGATAGATGGTTCACTTTGATTGAGAAATTTGTTGTATTGACATTAATTTTAGCAACCCTAGATGTATGTTTGCCATGGAGGAGTGCTGTACTGATGTCCACTTGACTTGCAGGTGCTTTGGTGGCCTATGAAGGAGTCCCTCTCCACTACACCTTCTTCCCTCAGTTATGGCTGGACATTTATAACTCACAGGTAATTTACCATTGGTCCTAAATCTTTAGCAGGCCTTGGCATTTATAAAACAATGGATTATATGGGAATAAAGACTGTGTGAGACTTGTCCATGTAGCATTGTTTATATTAAGTTTGACCTGTACTGCATGAATCTGTACATCTTTACTGGCACTCACTACATGTATCTTCACAGAATTTAAGATACCAGGGCAAGCCTCAGGCTATTCATGTAAGATTGCAGATACAGGATGTGATATGTTTCATCAGTATATGGAATAATGGTAGCATTGTGTCATTGTTATTCTTTGTATGGTTTCAATAAAATGTTTTTGATCTAAAGAAAATTTTTTTTGTACATGATACATTATCTTACTGATGGAATCCACAGCACATAGACAAGACGTACATCAAGAGGCTGATGTCGTCCCCGGCGTTTGCAGACTACGTGGACGCCATCCTGATGGAGGAGCGGGTCTGTCTGAACAACAACACCATCTTCTCCTTCTTCGCCATCTTCTTCCCAAGGGTTAGTCTGTGTTTCCTTGGCGTTCTGCAGACAACTACTAGCTATAGTTCTTTGCCAAAAATACAAATGTACAAGCAATAGAGGGGGGTCGGGAAGCTCAAGAGTGATTGCCTGATACTTGCTACTTTTATATCTGATAAGAAAATCCATTGGTACTGAAGTAGTCTTCCTAGACTTGTCAAAAACACATGCTGCTTAGTTGTCTGGGATGACTCTTCATTAGACCATCCGTCTGTACAATAGTCAATTGCAGTGTATTTGTCCAATTTGTGTACTTGTATGTATTGTACTTGCCCTGTGTTTCATTGATCAGATATAAGGTCAAAGCAATTCAGAAGTACTACATGTACATGTGATTGATATGAATAGAGATTGAAAGACTGGCACACAGGGTTAAACAACAACCTTCTCTCTCTCTCTGTCTGTAGATTCACTCAGAAGGCGTGTGCAGTCAGCAGGTAGTGAGACAGTCCCTCCTGGATAACGTGGTGACGGCTATCGTAGCAGAGAAGACCAGTATTGACACTGCCACACCAGAGGAGCTGCTCAAAACCTCGCGCAGTCTCAACGGGGTAAGACTCATTGATCACCAGTAACCAATGCATGGCAGACTGTTAATACTGGTAGCTTTCCAGTGTTCTTTCTATGGTACTGTGCTTAGTCCAGTGCTTAGCCACCTTGCTTCCTGGACCAAGATGTTGGGAGTTGTTAATCACCAAACATGCACGCTATTGGAAAGGGTTGCAATATTAAGTAAAGGATGTTAAACCTTGGTCATTGCGTTTATCGAAAAGAGCTAGGGAAATTTCCCCAGCACAATGAACCTGTAAATGCTGTTACAGTACATAATGTCTGTCTTTTCCGTCATGACCAGTGGAAGAGCAGCTCTTCAGTGAGCTGAACTGTTTGAGGTCACTTTCACTTTTGTACATACATTAAGATTTACATTTTCATTTGGTCCTGTCTGTATGTACATTTATGTTTAAGCCTGAAATCAACACGTAAAAAAACATACCAATCGTTTGTGACCCTGCAGGACCTGCGTGAGCTGTCCCTGCTGCTGGGAGTCCTGGGTCAGACCCCCCTCAGCCCCATGCTGCTGCCCAGTCTGCAGCACATCCTGGCGACAGGCAAGCGCTACCAGCAGCTCCGAGACGGCGTGGCAGGGGAGGGCAAGGGGGAGGAGGACAAGGACAAGGAGGGCCAAGAAAAGGACAAGGAAGAGAAGCTGTCAGCTTCTAAGAAGGCGACTAGTAAAGATGAAGTGAAGGAAACCGCTCAAGACTCAAGCACTGAGGGTAAGAAGGGACTGATATTGTACAAAACTTTTGAATGCTTACATTGTAGGTCTTCTATGCTGTCACTCTGACTAATATTTGAATCTGAAGCTGTGCAAAAAGTGATATCCTGTCAGCAGGTATTGTTGTGCATCAAGTCTCTGAATTATCCCTAATGGTAGCCTGTTTTTTGAGGAAATGTACAAGTCTAGTAATTATTTTACCATTATGCATTCTTTCAGGTGAGAGTGATGAAACACCTGTCAAGAAAATGAGGATGAGTACAAAATCAGAGGACAGCAAGCAGCCAAAACCGAGCAAGGAACCGACCAAAGCAGCGACCAAGCGTGCGCACTCGCCGCAGCCCTCCACTTCCACCGCCGCGGACCAGACGTCACCGCAGCTCAGCAGCGCGACCTCCGAGTCGGGAAGCGACTCCGACGTCTCCCCCAAAGCCAAGCCCGTCGGGCAGCGGTCGGGCCAGAGAACAGGTCCAGGGAAAGCTCAGGACGCGGTGGACCTGATGGTGAAGCTGATCGAGACCAACCTGCCACTCGTCGCCGCAAACACAGAACCGACCACGCCAACAGTCAGCAACGACAAGTGATTACAAGATAGACACCAGACGTGGTTCTTTTACGCTGTAATAAAGATTTCCGTAAAAGGGACATTCATTCAAGCGTGCACAAAAATGTTGTCCACATCAGAGGTTTACTCTGCTTTTCAGTTGTATACTGGCACCTGTATTGTATTCCTTGAAGTGTAGCACATTCAATTTTGAAGAATTAGTAAGACAGAACTTCCAGGGACTGTGTATATCAATGGCAATATTTGTTTTGCAGAGTATTGTCTCCTTTGTATGAAGTGTAGTTCCACAGACAGCAGAGTTTACATTCCTCAAAGACAAGTTTTCTTATTGAGTTCCTTTTGTTGGACATTAATTAGTGTACGGAAATAATAATTTAATAGAACTACTTTTTAAAGAACAGAGATATTATCGTAAATTCTTTTCTCTGGGTAGGCTGTAAGAAGACAGTCACTAATGGTCAGTACAGGGTTGACCAGGAGAAACGTGTTATTTTGTACAGACTACAGACGTGTTACTTTGTCCAAAGGGAGCCAGTGTAAGTTCTCAGACAAATTCTCCTAACTAAGCAGGTTTGCCTCTCCCGTGCTGAGTCATGTATGGATCTGGAATGGTACATATCCCACTTGGCTGAGGGGAGTGGCAAGTGGATGATGATAACTTAAAATAGGGATTCTTTTGAGTCTGCAGCACCACCGCAGCAGACTCACACCAATGTTGCAATGATGGGGAGGGGGGTGCACAGAACCTACTGTTGATACCTTCCCTTGTGTTGTAAGTATTGAAGAAAGGAACCTTTATTTCAAGAGCCATATCCTTTGTGTATCTTTTTCAGTTTAGTCGATTGGATATTGCAAGTTAATTTGTTGCATTTTAATAAATGATTGATTCAGATATTCCCTAGCACTTTGTTGGAATCATTTTTTTTCACAAATGCCACAGTGGAGAAACCGTTTAATCAAAGATATAAATGCTCGGAATTAGCATTGAGATATAATGAAACATACTGCTCACCAAAAATGTGTTCCTTACAATTTTAACCTACTATTGAAACTATCCTACGAAGAGAAAGCATGCGAAATAAAAATTAAAAATTTTATTGTTGAAAACTCAAATTAAAAACATTGTGTGTCTTGGGAAAATCATGGCATTGACACAATTAAAGAACCTAGACATAAAATCAAAGACATAAGAAATAACATTATCCTAGTTAACATACAGACATTGCTATGGTTTGGGCTGTAAAATACTAAGGACTGGTGAATGGACTGTACCATGCACTTCAACAAATGACCACAGTAGAGATATATCTACCAGTGTTGTACATGTGATCAAATCTTATGAGTATACAATTTGAAAATACGAAGTAACCAACCAATTCAAATGGGAGATGAAAACTGCTAATAAATAAATAGATTCCAGCTACTCCTTTCTATCAAACAGGAATGCAAGCTGGATATTTTCAGACACAATGAGCCTGTACATGCTGTCACTTTTACTTGCTTTTAGCTACAGATATTCCTCAATGACCACAGGTGCATATTGTGATTTAGACTGAAAGCCAACTGTTCTTGTTACCATTGAGAAGAACATAAGAGATCACTTGCATTACTTGAAAAATCTTGAGCTTGCATGCACATGTGGAAGTCATTGAGAATACACTAGCATCAAAAGCTTCCTAAACTCTCCTAATCACTAGTCTAAAGAGATGTGGGGCACACTAACAATCCTACTGGCAAGCATTCTTACAGAAGACATGGGCACACCACAGAGGAGTGTCTTCTTATTCAATATCAATACCTGATGGGATATCATTCCTGTATGTTGAGATATTCCTGCTAAACTTCACAATGCCAGAGTTGTTTGGTCACAGCTAATGAATATGATGGAGTGAAGTTGTTCTTTCCACAGTCACTGACTACAGTTTGAAGGCAGACTTTCACACTACTCCTACTTCCAATTGCAAATTCGGACGTCAAAGGCTTCCCACCCTGGCCCCAAACCCGAACGTGTCCTTGATGGGGACCCAGTAGTACTGTCTCCAGCCAGCCTTCGTTCTGTCGAAGTCGCTGTCCGGGATTCCAGTCTGGGTCAGCCTCATCACGGTGTGGTCATGCTTGTCTATCAGCTGCACGGTCACCACAGAGTAGTGTGCTGGGGAAATACAAGCAACATTTCAGTAAGAGATATGGGCAGAAACAACTTCATTGTACAGTGTATATGACTATAACATCTGTAAGATGTCAGCTGTGCTTCAAGCAGCAGTGTTTTGTTCACTGATGGCAAAAAGATTGTTCAAATGTTGGCTGTCAACAAGCATGCATGTGTGACCCTTGGGTAAGGTCTTCATTCCTCACTACCCTAGTCTATTATGTGTTATTATACAGGGTTTGTCAAACTGGGGACAGTAGCCTTAAACTATAGTGGTAGTTTCATCTCTCTGCCACATGATGCTACTGAAACTTGAGCAACACCCATCCATGTGAGCTACATGGCTGAAGTCAAAGTGCAAAAGAAGGTGTCAATGAACTTGTAATTAATAATTTGTCATATCTTAGAGATGTAAGAGACAAATACATGTACAGAGCTTTTCTCACCTGGTGGCCATGACTTGAACCTCCACCTCATCACAATTTTGTTAGGGAAGGACTGCAGGGACAGACAATGCACATTGGAAATGATGTTCATGCGACACTAACGCTGTGAATGACAAATTTCAAATACACCAAAAATAAAGTAAAAAGAAAGCAAATTTTCTCTGCTTCAGATCACTTTTATGTTACTAAAAAGTATTAGTATTTGTAAAAGACTGACAAAATGCATCACAATAATTAATTGCCTTTCATATCTAGCCAAGTAAGCTTATAATATGAGTACATCAGAATGTCATGGCTTATGTGTGCCTTACCAGCTCATCAAAGATCCCCTCCACCATGCCGTTGAAGAGTACAAAAGGGCCGCCTTTTTCTGTCTCCATCTCTGCAGGACTGTGTGTCCAGGCCTGCACTCTCTGGGAAACAACATAGCAATGGTTGACATTTTGATATTCTATTAACTTAATTGTGAGTAGGAAATTCTCACTAACTAAAGTGCCTCTAAAATGCAGCCCAGACACACAGTCAGTCGCAATGATCATCTTACAAATGCATGATTCTTACAAAGTGGTACCCGTTATTGTTACGTGATTGTTACGATAAGATTTCTAATGATACACCCAGCATGTGTTTTGATATAAAGGAACAGCACAGATACAGTTGACCAAAATCAACTTTTCAAACATATTGTGCTGAGTTTAGGTGTGGATCAGAAGTCTAGTAAGTAATGAGGATTTACCACCACGTCTGTCAGGGTGGTGTAGAGCTCGTCAGGTGGGCAGAGGAAGTCCTCCTGGTACTTGTACGTGAGTGTGTTGATCTTCACACCTATGTTTTGCTCCTTTGGTGCTGCTTTACTGACAACTGGCAGTGCGCTCATATCCTACATACAGACAAGATATCAGTGAGCATTTGGGGCATCAGCATTTAACAAAATTGATGCTGACTCAAATTTTATGCTTTAAGAATTGGCAAATTCCAGATGGAGGAACAACTTACCTTTTTGACCACCGGCTTCTTTTCTGTTGCTGTTGGAGATTTTTTCTGATCTTTGGAGGGAAGAATTAAGTTCTGGGAAAATTCTGAAAAGAAAAAGACGTTTCCCTCATAAACAAAGCACCTCAAGCATGAGTTAGATATTCTGTTAACTAATGCCAATACAAGAGGGCATCGGGACTTTACATGTGCATCTACAAGAGAGCAACAACTGATACAGTAAATTGACAGAAAGAAAGCTACCTGTTTTTAAATCTTTAATGTACTGGCCGAGCCTTTCTCTGATGATGTCTGAACCCTTTTTCCTGACGACTTCCTTGACTTTGTGGGCCTCGTCTGAATTAGACTTCACAGAAACATTTACCTGGACAGAGGGAAAAGTAAGTGTGAGCTAAACAGTCTCAACTAACAACATACCAGTATGTCCTACTTGGCAAACATAACTGACTGCAGATCTAAGGATAAGGCATTCAAATGCCTTACAGTAATTTACAGATTTAATCTATCTTGAAGATTAACTAAAGACAACAAGGAGGATACTCACATCTATGTCCTCAATATCATTCTCTTCACTCAGGTTGGGTATTTCTGCCTTGCCAGTAAAACTTGTTTTACTCTCCTCAAGGCCGCCTGTAAAAAGGTGTTGGGTAGAAGCTGTTTTACTCAGGACTCTGGACTATGATTTACTAAGGAAATTACAGTAAGCTTTCATTGAGATGTTAGAGAGAGCTACAACAAAAGTCAATTGCTGGTACCATAGGCTTTCAAAACTTAACTACTTCTATTCCTTTCAGTCACATTGCCAATCTAGGCCATTTTATGCTTTGATCACAGAAAGGAGAGATGACCTATGTGAAAGGAAAAAAAATAGCAAAACAAAACAGACATATCTATAACATCAGCATACCTTTCCATTCCAGTTCTAATTCCCACTCATAAAAGTAGATTAACTTCTTTTTTCTGTTGTTGATTGTGGCCTCGCCCTCAATCTTGGAGATGTCCTTTATCTGACACTTCACTGTGACGAGGACAAGATAGGGCACATGTTAACTTCACAGTCAGTTCAGGCTGAAAAGCAAATTGTTTTTTGTTTGCACAACTGGTAAACAGCCTTTGGGCGTAACACACCAGTTTTGTAGAGTGGTTATAAGCTGTGTAAACCAGACTGTAACTACAAACAGTACTAGTAGTATAAGGTTTGAACCACTTACATCGGAAAGGAGCCCTTCTCTTCAAGGCTCTCCTCAAACATGGGACCTCCAGCTTTTCGTCCCATCCAAGAGGATGTTTCAATTCATTACTGTGATTACCACTGTTACTACTAGTGTTAGTGATATGTATGTGTGTATGTGTACTATTCCTTTAGATTTCTTCTTGAATTCTAGCCGTGGCGACTCTTGATTCGGGCTTACATTGCATTACCCTCAGCAAGAGTCGTGGAAAGATCCATTGGCAGAACTGCACATTTCCCGTTGGCTGCACGATGCTCCGTTTTTGACCCGGTTTTTTGCTGTCCCGAGCTTCCCTACAATATAACTCCACAATTGGCCGGGTTGCCGATGTTTAGATCAGCCTAAATATTCCACAGCGCGACAGAAAAGTAGTAAAATAGCTAGTCGGCACTAGCTGGCGGCCATATTGGAATGTCCGCTACCGCCGTCGGGAACGCTCGGTAGCGTCACGATTACCGAAGCGCGACCGAAAGCTCTCCGATTATAACCGGAAAGGCTACCGAGCGTTCCCGACGGCGGTAGCGGACATTCCCGACTATATCCAAGATGGCCGTCAGCTTGTGCCGACTAGCTATTTTACTACTTTTCTGTCGCGCTGTGGAATATTTAGGCTGATCTAAACATCGGCAACCCGGCCAATTGTGGAGTTATATTGTAGGGAAGCTCGGGACAGCAAAAAACCGGGTCAAAAACGGAGCATCGTGCAGCCAACGGGAAATGTGCAATTCTGCCAATGGATCTTTCCACGACTCTTGCTGAGGGTAATGCAATGTAAGCCCGAATCAAGAGTCGCCACGGCTACTTGAATTCTAGGTTGATTCAACTTGAAAAACGCCCACCTCCATCTTCTTCTATCTTCAGCCCAACCAACAGCTCCTCTAATTTCTTCTTGGACCAGGGGGTGGCATTTTTCTCTGTCCTGAAGGAAAAGCAGTCAAACTCAAAATCAACCATTACGAGAGACATATACCTTCTTTTTGGTTTATTGTACAACATGACAAAATACTAGTAATTTGATGTTTTGGACAGCACTCTGTCATCATTCTCCATGGTGATAGCAACATCAATGATCCAATGAATTTAATGATGTAGCTCCTATGGAAATTGGACTGGACCAAACATAATTGTCCCTCGGGTTTCAGCTTAATTTGTAGATACTTTTATTGTTATAGCTCCTGCTGATTTCATTACCATGTAGGCCAGCTATATTTTTTCCTATTCCCCTATTACTAAAAAGAGAGAGTTTGTGGTTTATATGCCCCGGAATCGAGTCTGTTGTCCTGTTTCCTTCCATAACAAGACAACGTGATCCGATCTCATGACGCAACATATCTGACATGTGGGTCATGGGGGGGGCTGTGTTCGGACGTTTTTGTCAGGATTTTTCAAACGAAATCACAACAGGTCTAGTGTATTCGATCTCTAACAATGAGTCAATTCAAGGACACGTATTACGTTTTTTTGATCAACAAAATGCCGAAGATTTTTGTGGCGATCCCATCGCCATGTAAGACGTGGAAAGACAGCTGGTATCGTGACATGCCGCGGCATGGCGCTCGTACGGAAAATATGGGCACAACCTCCTGACAACAGGCCAAAACATCCGCACAATGTAACTCACCAGTGCCAGTTATTCACGTTCGTGGCGTCCGCTCTCTCTTCCACGATCCAACGGGGGTCTCCCTCTCCCCACTTGGCCATCTTTCGGGCTGATTCCTCGCCTGAGACGGGAAGTTTCTCGGAGCTCCACTCCTTGATTTGTGAATGGTAAATATTCGCCGGTAAGGAAAGTTCCCGAAAGGATACGGAAGTGACATCACGAGTAACCGGAAGTACGGTCAGAGGTCACACACAGTACCCAGCATGCACCGCGGGTTACAGAGAGGTCAGAATGGCCGGAAGTAAGGTGTGTGTGTGTCTGTTTTCTTCGGAATATTTTTAGTTTCTGGCCAACATTTCATATTTTCAGGGCTCACATATGACTTGCAGAAATCATCCACGTAAAGCAGTGGTCGAACTAGAGCGTAAGACGCTCCAAGAAACAAATTAAAACACGGAAGTAATTTCCAGGTCTGTCTTTGGTCCACCTGTTATGAATTTAGAACTTTTACAAGGGGGCGGTGCTGGATGCCAATGAAGATTGAGTTTCAGACAAAATGACATCAAATTTCGCTATAGTTTTATATCATATTACAGATATGTTTAGCTGGCAACTTTTTGGCACAAAGTTTATGTAAGGTAATACCTTGATACCTTGTAATGACAGAGACTTCTATTTTCTTTCTCCATCCACTGATGCAGGATCAAGCCAGAATGGCAGCTCAAGCCTTCACTGCAGCGTAAGTGTAACTATACATATGACACCACTCACGCCATGTTGGGTTTCAGTGTAATTTGTCTTTGAAACACGCCAACATGCTGTTACGATATTTACACTTGCCAACGTGCAACATGGCCCCTGGATAGTCAAATTATGATTATCTTGACATCAATAAAAGCCTATGTATTGGAAGTTTAACTTAGGCTCTCTTTTCCTAAACAAACACATGCCATCCATATCTAATAACAGTAGTAGTGCAATACCTTTTGTACTTGATATTCAGTTTGATATCTCAACAGATATGTAATTAGCTCTGATGTTTTTTATGTAGGCTCCTGCAGTCAGTATTGACCATAGTAAAATCCTAATAAACAGTCCTACAGCTTCGGATATGGTGGAACAGTCCTATGTGAGAATGACAGTCTCTGCCGCATTGGGCACATTTTAATCTGATGTACAATAATACCGTGGCCGACAAGGACACACCTGCGTCGTCTGCGCGCACACCTGCGTCGCCTGCGCGCACACCTGCGTCGACTGCGCGTATACCTGCGTCATCTCTGCAAAGAGCTTCCTCGTCTGCGCACGAATACCTGCGTCGTGTCTGCCAAGAGCTTTCTCACGCCTGCACAGAAAGAGCTTCCTCGTCTGCGCACGAATACCTGCGTCGTGCCTGCCAAGAGCTTCCTCACGCCTGCACAGAAAGAGATTCCTCGGCGACCTCGCTGCGCGCAACGAAAGCTCGCTGCACGGAAGAATACGTGTCACCCCTGCCTTGTTGAAGAATGGACGGTCCCCTATTACAGGTCAAGGGTCACACCACCTAAAACAATTTTATTCCCGTCTTTTTCTGGGATTTTGTTGTGTCTGTCCCGTAATAAAATCACTTTTATTTTTATTCAACGTGTTTAAAATCATTTATTGCAATAGTGACGTGTTAACTAAACTAAAGTAATCATGAACAATTCTATTATACTGCAATTGATAAATAGTGCAAGGGAGTAAAGATGCAAGGGCAAAGACCGGTACCTCTATAGGAATGGTACACCCAATATAGTGTTCCCTATCAACCTATTGCCACCCCAACAATCCAACATGCACTGGGGAATCGTGCCTGCTAACACATTTCCCCCCTCAAGTAGCCTCAGAATGTCCCATTTCAACCCGAGTCAAATTCTCAAAGGCTTTGCGTTGGTCACTCCGCTCCCTCGCCATTAAACTGATTCTGCTCCCTCATGATTTTAAACACGTTGATAGGGTATTTTTTTATGAATGAATAAAAATAAAAGTGATTTTATTACGTACGGGACAGACACAACAAAACCCCAGAAAAAGACGGGAATCAAATTGTTTTAGGTGGTGTGACCCTTGACCTATAATAGGGGACCGTTCATTCTTCAACAAGGCAGGGGTGACACGTATTCTTCCGTGCAGCGAGCTTTCGTTGCGCGCAGCGAGGTCGCCGAGGAATCTCTTTCTGTGCAGGCGTGAGGAAGCTCTTGGCAGGCACGACGCAGGTATTCGTGCGCAGACGAGGAAGCTCTTTCTGTGCAGGCGTGAGGAAGCTCTTGGCAGACACGACGCAGGTATTCGTGCGCAGACGGGGAAGCTCTTTGCAGAGATGACGCAGGTATACGCGCAGGCGACGCAGGTGTGCACGCAGACGACGCAGGTGTGTCCTTGTCGGCCACGGTACAATAGTGTTAAGTCTATAGGCAACAGTGTCTTTTTTCCTCTAACCTCAGTTTTAAGTCAGATGTTTATTATGTATCTTATCTATTGTGTATGCTTGCAGGGATGATGAGGAGTACTGGGAAGAGTCTTCAGTTACCTCATCCAAGAAGAATCTGTTTGACGATGAGGAGGAGGTAAAGTATTGTAGACTTTAACCAATGTACTGATTATCTTAACAATTATTCTGTACAGGGCTGTGGTGGCTGTTGTATCAGATATTCTACCTTTCCCGATGCAAGTAATCCTTATCATGGGCATAAGAATGGAAAATCGTAGGATTACAGCATTCATTACATGACATTTGAGTTCTTGTTGCAATGCTCTTGTATAACTGTTACTAACAACAGGAAAAAAATGGTAGCAGACTTAGAATGAGATAGTGTAAAGCAGTGTTAACCACTGAGCTGGGCAACCCTGGCTAAAATGATTGAAATGAAAACAAAAATTAATGGCCACTTTCTATTATATTGCGTAGACAAATATATTCCTATAGAGAAACTGCTAAGAGTTTATGACAATCTTCCTCATGTCTTTAATTTCTCCCAGGGCTTCACTGTGCTGGGAGTGAGTGAGAACAAGGCAGCTCGTCTGTCCAGCGCTCTCCGCTCCACCGCCCCAGACCTGTTTGCCGATGATGACAACGATGACATCACCTGGGAAACCTCCAGCAACATCAGCAACAGCAGCAGTCATGGCAGCATCACGTGTAAGGACAAGGGCACTGTTTTTTATTTGTTTGCTTGTTTGTGTGTTTGTTTGAGCATGAAGGAACTTGATGTTCTATGTGCCACTTGGCATAAAAGGGGCCAAATTCCTTTAGGATTGCATGAGAATAGTGCAATCCTAAAGGAACTACATGTATAGTACAAGTACATGTAGTTCAATTGCTAAAATAACATAAATATCTCTCTGTCACCCAACAGCTGCAGAGTACCGGTCTGCCCGGTACACCCCACCCACCAACAGGAGCGGATCTCTGTCAACAAGCAGCAGCAGGAGTACTGCAGCTACAGTCACGTTAGGTGGTTCACAAGGTGGGTAACAGGACATGTTGTAGTTAGTAGTGAATCTTTTAGTTAAAACCTTGGTTTTGATGTTGGTTTTTGCTTGTGTATTCAGCATTGTTATGGTGTATCAGTGCAGAAGTAGGTGTATGTCATCATAAATTATCTATAAGTTCTGAAAATATTATACCATAGTTATCACCTGACAGCCATTGAACAAGCTATACCAGTGGTTTTTAAATTGAAGACAACAAAAGTAACCTTGCCTATCCTTTTGTTTTTAGATAATTCTCTCAGTGTGCAGTTTTCCAAACCAAAAATAACCAGAAGTGAACCCATGTCTCTGGAAGATGGTAAGTTTTTCTTTTCATACATCTATAATATCAGTATGTTTAGTTGTAGATGAAAGATATTCAGCTCCGTGATCTTATGGTACATGCATATTCATTTTAACATTGATTGTCAAGGAATGTAAAGATAATTGCTTATTACAATAAAAGAATTCACATATTCCGCAATCCCATCCCACAGCGATCATAGATGTGCCGGCAAAGCAGGTCACGGCCACAGAAGTCTCCAAACTGGAAACAGAGATTCAGTTTCTCAGAAGACAAGTTCAGGTGCGTCACTGTTGTTCTTACAGCAATGATTACAACAACCAATAATCTGTGCCACATCAGGGAGTAGTCTGAGTGGGAGGAATTCTAGATATCTGAAACTGCTGTATTATTACCTTCGCCAAGAAGGTTATGTTTTCAGGGGCGTTCGTGTGTCTGTGTGTGTGTGTGTGTGTGTGTGTGTGTGAGCACGATAACTCAAGAAGGCTAAGGTGGATTGTCTTGATATTTGGTAGGTGGGTAGGTCTTCATGACACGTAGAACTGATTAGATTTTGGACGCCCTGGCGGCTTGTTATGGTACTGCAGCTGAACTTCCGGTTTTGATATCTCATGATCTGGACATGGTAGGTTCACTAAATTGCGATGGTAGGTAGCTCTTTGACTGGGGAAGAAATGACATGAGTTTGGACCCCCTAGCGGCTTGTTCTGGAACTGCAGAAGCATTCGTTGAAAAATATTTGAAGGAGGATAACTCAAGAACCGATTGAGGGATCATCATGATTTTTGGTATGTGGGTACCTTAAAGAATGATTGACATATTAAAATTATAGTTATGCAAATCAGCAGCTGATTAGCATAATTAATGAGAATGAGGAAAATGCTACAAATCTGCTACCTTCCATGATATGATTATTCAAACGTGTGACATGTGTAATTGTGAAGTAGAAGAACATTGGCAGATAGTGTTTATGCAAATGAATGCCTAATTTTCATAATTAATGCGAATTGTCAACATTCGTCAAGACCAAAGGGTAACATCATTTGGCGAAGGTATGAGATCGCGGAACTCTAGTTATCTTATAGATTCATGCAGTAAAAATTGGCATTAGCATATAGATGTGTTCAATATAGTACTTGTGTTTTTATCATAAAACACAATGACAATGTGCTGTTTGTCAGAAACAAAACAAAACAAAACATTTATTATGTGATTCTATGATTCAGACTTTTTATGTTTCCCCTTTGTCCTTGTGCCAGCTAGGAGAAAGGGCAAGGTGGACATCACTGCCTGTGAAGGAAACTATCAAAAGAATAATTCTAGGACAGGTAGGTTGACTTTGTGTACAATTTGTTTCTTGTGTCTCTATGATAGATCTTAATCTGTATATCTTGAGAACTAATATAATGTCTGTAGGTAGAACTTACTCAGTATGTACCATTGCCTTGACTGACATGTAGTACATATTTGTTCTCAGCCATATTCCTTGGAAGCTTACAAGTCCCTAGAAGACAAACTTGCCCTGCTGGATGCTGCTATTAAGATGCATGATGGAGATGCTATCACCATTGTAAGTACTCACTGTCTGTTGTAACACCTGTTGTCATGATGTTTGGTGATGTATGTAGAATGCAACATTTTTTTTGACACCCTGTAAAAGCCAGTGCATTCTCCCTCCCTCTGCAGGCCGTCCTGTTCCTGAAGAAAACTGTTAGAAAAAGTGAGTATCAGTCACAACTCTTGTGAGTATGATTCCCACTTACTTACTTAGACCTACTGCCCGTCCTTGGGATAGTCCATGGTGTCTCCACCTGGTGCAGTCCTGGGCGTTTCTACCAGCTGCTCCCATGTGTGTACAGATGCCCTCACGTCTGCCTCATGGTCCCTCCTCCACATGTTCCTCAGTCTCCCCGCTTCAGCTTCCCTGTAGGAATGTAGCTCCTGTTCCCACACTAGGATGATTTTACATCTTTTATAATGTAACTCTTAGGCTTGTGTTCCTTTTTATAAACTACAACGTTGTCCTACTCTTTGCCTTCCAGACATTTTCCAGCAGGAGCTGATTAAGAGACCTGTCGCCATCAACCACCTCATCCACTTCCTGTGGTGCCACTATGACCTGGATGACCTGGAGGAGATTTACAGGTCTGTCTCTAACATGTTACCACGATTACATAAATCAGGCTTTGATAGAGTGGACCTATACATGATTTTTGAAAGCTACATGTACAACATCTGCTCATTTTTTAAAGATTTCCTGTCAAACTAATCTTTCTTGTTTCTCTTTTCAGAATATTAGGAAGAATGGAAGATGTTTTTGTAAGTAATAATAATCATTCACATGTATTATGAAACAGTATTGAGTTGCAATAACTTCTACCAACACTGAACTTCCAAGATGATACCAGTACTCATTTATTAAAATGCTTTTAAAACAGCATTTTTATATAGCTTTTGACTGCAGTGATTGGAAACAGTTTGCCTTAATGGTCTTGATCTGTGCAGGTGCTGAAGTACAAGCAGGCCCTCGCCCCCTCCAAGGCAGCTGGCAGGGCACAGAGTATAGCAGCAGTTGTCAGGTGGGTTGTAAGGCCACACTACATTGATTTCTTGGTTCTCAGATTTTTTTTAGATAAAATATGAAGTGACAGGGCAAAAATCTAGGCATATTGTGATAGCCCCAAAAGCTACGATAGGAGCCATGGAGTCAACATACCAGACTGGTGTATAATTCAAACAATGCATTTTGAAGTTTTAACCAAATCACTGCATTGACAGAAGGAAAAACTGTCGCCAAAATATGAGCATCCTGTAGTTGAGTCCGAACCTGAATATTTTTTTTGCATTTTGCAAATCAGAAAAAAAATGGAGCAGGTAAATTCAAGAAACAATTTATTGAATTGGTGCAGCCTAAACATGAAAAGCATCATTCTCATATGCTAACGACTGCCCTGATCCCATAAGCTGCTAATGGAAAACCTTTGGCATTAACTAGATGAACAACCAAAGAGCACAAAGTGCCATGACCTTTTCTTGGGAGATCCATCTATGTAAGATGTAGATTGTAGGATTAACGTTTGTATTCCTAAAGATTTATAGCATCTGTTTTACATGATTTTTAACCTTGGGAAAGTAGTAAAACTACTTACCAGTAATCTAGAATAAATCACGCAACTGGATTAATCAAGCAATGGGATAAATTCTTACAGCTGCTTGTTTTATTTTTTATCAGATAATGTTCTATGTGGATCTCTAACCTTCATCGACATAGTAGAAGCACTACCTGTATATATGTTAACTGAGTATGCCCCACACAAAGTTTGACAGGGTTGAATGATATTTATGGTGCATGCACAGGCATATGTCAAATAAGTTGCAAATGTCTACTGATGACAGTGTGATTTTTCTTTTGTTTTTCAGATCCTTCCAACATGACTCTTCTTTAGCCCCAGACTCCACTCTTCTCCTGGACCAGTGTACTCTTCTACAGAGGCAAATACAGATTGAGGTACACATTCCTCCAAGTATTTGGGAAATTGTGTTATGCTGATGTTAGCTCAAGTACTTCTCAAATCTCACATAAACGTAGATGGTTGAGAATAAGCATCAATAGTGATTAAAATCTTAATCCGTCTGTGTCTTTGTAAAACATTGGACTGAGAAGGAGAAGATGACCACATATTTTTGATGATATTTTCTTCATTATTCAGGAAGAAGACAAGAAAATAGCGGCCAGTGGAAAGCATCCAGTCTTCAGAGAACATCCTCCCAAGGCCCACCTTCCCCTCACCCCCCTGACTACCACCCTGTACTACTGCAGCTTCTACCATTATAATGAGTCAGATGTAAGTGTCAGAGTCATCATGCACTTTTACCAACAAGTAGGATCTGGCTTTAAAAGAGTAGTAACTGTTGTTATCTACATGGTTAGGTTTGTGACATTCATGACTTCAATAAATAGCTGTGTGGTTGTTTGTTAAGTTCTCTAGTTGACTTATTTTGTTGTTACTCATTCAGTCATCCTTGTCAAGCCCCCTGTCTATCAAGAGAGACTTCCAGGTTAGTCATCTTTTTTAGTCATTAGAAATAACTATCTAACTGTGTCTGCTCTCTACCAGCATAGAAAAGATTGCTGTTTTGCCAACATCACTCCATTTTGCAGGCTGTTTAATTTTTGTGTCTGTCATACTCAGATCAAGAATGTTAAACATATTAACATGAAATACTTTTGTTTATGATTGAACCCTGTTCAGATTTCAGACAAACAGTACACATGGAGTACCCTGAATGCCCTGGCCAAACTTCACAGGTGGAAGGAGATTGAAGCCCTCCTAACTTCAAAGGTAAGTGTTCAATTGCAAGTAATCTCTAAGCAGATACCTGAGTAGGAAATGGTAAATGTTTTCTGACTGGCCAGTCTTGTCTGACAGTCACAACACTAACGCTTGAGGTGAAGGACTGTCCAAAAACCTGGCTGGTCGGTAAATGTCACAATCTTAGAGATTAAATGCAAGCATTGTTCTTGTATACATTTATTTATGTGCGCTTGTGTGGCAAAGAAATTATAACAGTTGTGGTACCTGTTTCACATTCTGTTGCAAAGAAAGTTGACACATCTGTTTCCTTTGTTTCAGAACTGGTTTGGTGGCACTAAGATGAAGGCCTGTATAGGTTTTGAGAAGGTTGTGGACATCTTGAGTAAACAGAAGGCACCTGTAGATGTAAGTTATTTATCAATACACATATTCTGCATGGTTCCTCCATATTTTGACCTATATGCACAGCAACGTCTATTCATAAGGCACATTACATTATATAAAGTGATGATATTATTAGAACATTGGAGCATACCATAGATTCATTCATATCTTTTCCTCTGAACCTCATCACAGATCCTGAGCAAGTATCTGCCCTACATTGAGGACCCAAATGAGAGGCTGGCCCTGGCAGCAAAACTCAAGTGCCATAGAACTGTAGTAGATGTGAGTTTCTTTCAGCTACTTGACTATTATTGCGTGCTGTGAGAAACGTTTGAATGAATGTACTACATTATGATCCTCCAAAGTCATACAGCTTCATCATTCCCTAGTCTTATACCCTTCTAGTGCTTCTCTGTCCTCCAATGTCAGAATGATAATGTATGAGTTCTATAACTGTACATGTAGTTGTAGTGCAAATGTATAACCATAATTTATATAATTCATAATTTGTATAACTGTATAATTTTTCCAAAAATTGCATAAAGCTATTGATGATTTAGTAATCATTGAATTACTCTTGGTCAATCAGACCCTGATTCAGCTGAAGGATCGTACGGCGTTAGAGGACTACAGACTAAAGACTCCAGACTACAGTCTTGAGAGGCAGTATGTCATTACTGCATTGAACAACTCGGTGAGCCTCCAGTCTTGATTGCTATGTGTGTCCCGTCTTCTCTGCAGTATAATGTTATGCACTGAACCTTTACTGTGGCATGGTGTGGTGTGGTGTGGCATGGTGTGGCATTGTGTGGTTTGGTGTGGTGTGGTGTGGTGTGGTTTGGTTTGCTTTTGTGTGGTGTGGTGTGGTGTAGTGTAGTGTAATACTTTTGGTTTCAACAACACAACACACTGTAGCACAATTGAAACTTGTGTTCCACTATGACATGCCTTCATTAAAAATGATGCTAGATCACTGATCTTGTTTTTCGTTCTTCTGTTTTATTTGCAGCAAATCAAGTGGAAGAACTGACAACGAAAGCAAAGATCACAAAACTCATTAGCTTTGTGCAAGGTGAAACAGAAAACAGAGATGAACCATCCCTGAGGTCTAATTACAGAGGTCAATGATGAGACCAGGTTATATATATACATGTATATCTATCTTGTAAAGTGGCACCCTGTCTGTCCCTAAAGTGTTTTGTGCAATCTTAATTGGTTCCTTTGAAGACTCCCTCATGTCTGATTAGTGAGGAGGATTATTTTTTGAGACCAGACATTTTTGCATACTGGCCAGTAACACCATGGGATCCAATGTATACGAAAGAGCTGCACGAACACGGACATAAGTTATATATAACTGGCCTTATTTTCAGCTGCGTATCTGATGTGATTTTTATATACTCTTATCATTGATGTTCAGGATATATTATGCATTATATTAAGTTTAGAAAGTGTTGCATGATATGTCCTGTGATTGATGTAAACAATATTTTTATATCTGTAGTTTAACCGAAGACAATTCCTTGTACATTTAATACAGGAATAAAAGGAACTGACATTCTCACTGACTTAAAGAGCAGGTTTTATTGAATAGCATGAGGGTGCACTGTTAAGTAGATATCAGGACCAGGTATAGGAGAGTAGATAAAGCTTGCAGTTTTCCCTACATTTGACCTTTGCAGATGGTCCATCCATTCTTCACAAGCATGTTGGTAGAACGTGCTGCATCTGCACGAAACCTTGATTTTTCATGGTTTTCATTGGATGTTTGATCAACGTTGCATCACAATTTTGCCTGCTGCAGGTGATCTAAGAGTTACGACACAACATTTGAAAACTATAGTCAGAATGTCATCCTACTCAAATACAACTTTAAACGAGACATTATGCCAAAGTGCTATGCACTACCAGGTATCTCAAAAAGGTCTAGAAAATATTAAGTTGTTGATTTGACAATGTCCAATTGATATTTAACAAATGCTCTGGAACCTAATAAAACACTCGTAAAACAAACGTAGCCCCCATTTAATTAGTAACGGCCTCATAAAAAAAGTGCATGAATGAGGTACACAAAACAGCACAACAGGATATGTCCATCACAGCCTCATACCTGGAACAAATTGCACAAAGTCTTTGAAGTCTTTCAACGCAGTCTGCCCATAACAAGCATTTCTCTCCTTTTGTAAAACATACCATTTATGATTCATATTATTTCCCAGTTACTGATCACTCCACAGGCTTTCTTGCACTGCAATATTCTACAATCAACAATCTTTTTGTCCGAAAGTGATATTTACCAAGGGCTTTTGTGAAAACAGGAGCATCAACTTTCACAGGAAGCCGATTGTTTTGACTGGCACCGTGAAAAACATGAATAACATGATGGCAAAGGCCCCTGTCTCATTCATCATAATACATCAAACGTACAGACAGCCAATGCGCCGGTGTTTCTAGCCCGCTATCCAAACCTGTTATAGCTGCTCAGTCTCTTTTGTCCTCTTATGATCTGTCCACGTTGATGCTTTTGCAATCGCAGAAGTGGCGTGAGTCTTATACTCTTGTCTCCCCTTGACATTTTGATGGGGCGAACAGAAGCAGTAGCCACGTGTACCGCATCTTTGCAGACATCCCAAATGACGTTAGGCGGATACATCATACATGGTACCTGTGCGAGGAATCTAGGGCCGTTTCAAAACACGTGGGAGGCTTGGTTTTAGATTGGAAAACCGCAGATATACCACTGACATTTCCTTCAGTGTTTGTAAGATAGCGATTCCCCCTAAACGAATGGTTGAGCGAGCTGCCTTTCGTTCTTACCATCACTAGTTGAGATGTTGTAGACACCTGCCCACGAAAACACGGAACTGCGTGTTATGAGGACAGCGCCGCTATTCAAAGCGAACACCGCACAAGCTACCGTTAAACACGTAGATTTTGAAACGCGCCGTATGACGAAGTGGCTTCAATGACAGCTAATAAAAAAAACCTGAGGCGGTGCGTGATGTAATTAAGGCATTTTATCCAGCGGTCCGTATCGTGTTCCACAGGAATAAGACAGGGGTACCTTTTTCAAAGCACCGCTGGGTTCTTGGAACGTGCGATCACCTGTTACACCTCTCCAACGATCCAAACCGTGCGGCGCAATGGGCAAATCAGGTAAGGCTTGAATTTCGTAAAACTCTGGAGTTAACGTAACAGGTGTTTAGAATGAATGCATCTTGCAGTCGGGACGCAACATTCAGACCATTAGATAGCTGTTTAGTTGTTAAGGAATACAATTTTTTTTTTTTTGCTAAAATGTCTTCCTATATAAATTATTAGCTACCATCTAAGTCACGATGTGTTCACAGTTTGGACCTTTTGTGTAAAATATTAACTAACAAGTCAATTGCAACAGGTCGTTTTGGTGTCTGAGTAAATATGGTATCAGCCACGCCTCGGATCGCGGAGTATTATATTGTTATAAGTATTGACGAATTGTTGGCAGTATGAATAGCACACAGAGCTGTAGGATGTGAATGTACATCGCTCTGCCGACGAGGATCACATCTCCATCTTGATTTATTTACTGGATATAGACTGTAGACCGTTTGTTTTCCTCCGGCTGTTAGCGACAGGTGACCCAAGTGTTAGATACCAGATACAACCGGACGTGGCTGTTTACATATACAGATGGTTGCGATAGCCCGGGGAAACTCTCTCGCGGTATGTCGACTTTCAGCACCAAGGACAGGGTCAGAAACGTCGGATATCTGCTTTCTGTAATTGTTGATTCACTTATCCATGCTAACATGGCGTGGAGGCACAGCATTGGTGATCTTAGCTTAATACGCTCTCAACGTTACGATATTTAAAATAACATATAACTGTGCTTAATTTTTAATCATTTACATAGATTACCGGCTTATCTTATACTGAAACAGAAATTGTGCGGTATGTTTACAATAGTGTTCGCCGTTTTCTTATCAACAAGGCCATCATAAACGTTATGAAAAGGTAAGTCTAGATCAAAGAAGGAGTTCAAACATACACGTGTGCTGTGTGCTGGGGGAACATCTTACAAATCCTTAAGAAAGTTATCGCTTTGATGTTAGGGATATAACAGGATCTCGTCACATTTTCACAGTATCCAAGAAAAAGAAACAGCAAGAAAGGCCTGAGGAGAAGTTGACGTTCCAGCAAGAGCTCCTACAACTCATCAACGAGTACAGAACCAAGCACGGGGCGCGGCCCTTAAAAATGGATGCCGGGATGTGTAGACAAGCCTACAGGTGGGTTAACACGGCATTTGCATCGCTTCATCTCGTAAATGGTCGTTGCCATTTCAAAGGGTCGATGCGTACGAGCGTATCATAACTTTTTTTGAGGGGCAAAAAAAATCAAAATGTATGAAAAGCAACATTTCAGTTGTAAATGCATGACAGCATTGTGAAAAATAGTAAAGATATTGGTGAAAAAAAAAATAGAGCATAAGCTCGGGTGTGATGAGGCTGGCCTCCCTTCCGGCAACAACCTTTATCCACCCTCGGTTACCAGACAACAGCTAATCTTGCACGTGTATCTATAACTGAAATACGACAATTTCCGACTAAGAGTGTTTTTTTTTCTCAGGTACTGCAGAACGATGGCGATGGACGAGACACGCCACAGTAAGGAGTGGGAGGAGGGGAAGTTCGGAGAGTCCGTTCTGATGAACAGGAAAGACATCACTGGTAAATTTCGTTTCTTTTTCGGATATTTTTCTTTGTGAATTGTGTTTGGAGATAATTTTGAAGGATTTTCGTTTAAAAAAAACGTTTGTCGACATATTGTTAGAGTGTTTAAAATTTTAACGACGCCATGCATGACGTACGTAGAGATATTTCATGTAATCGGATACGTGCTATCAATACTTAAAGTGGCCGGCTTTCTTTCTACTACAATAGCCTGTTGAAACGACGTCATCACCGTTTTATAGTTTCCGGATTGCCGTGTTGTAATTAACATATATCCGCCGGGTTACATATATCACTTTGAAAAACAGCGACCTCTACTAGCATCCCCTTCCCCAGTTATGCACAGTTTAGATTTGCAGGAGTGCATTATATCACGGGGCATTATATCTCTAGGCGTATTTTCTCGGGGTTGCGAATAAATTCTGATAGTGTGCTTCTTGCATATCACTCTAAGCTCGCCAGGTGGCAGACATGTGGTACAATGAGTCCAAGGATTATATATACGGCGGCGATGAGACGCAGAACACTACAGGTAAGGGCAAGGACTAATAATTAAGATTTGTCCGTGGTAAGAGCTTTACCATCTTTTCGCTAACTGCTGTGCAAATATTAGCACATGCATGTAAATGTTGCATTGCATCCTTTCAAATATATCATTCGAAAAGCTAGATTCCAAAAGAACAGAACATTCGAAAAACTTGATTCCATAAGAACATTCGAAAAGTTTGATTCCAAAAGAACATTCGAAAAACTGGATTCCAAAAGAACATTGGAGAAACTGGAATCCAAAAGAACATTCTGGATTAATGGTGATGATGTGTCTTTGCTTGGTCAATTCTGTTTTCCAATTCTTCACACTACAATATTTGATTTCAAATATCTCCTTTTTGTTTAGAGAATTTCACCCAGATGGTCTGGAAGAGTTCCCAGCAGTTCGGGGCGGCCAAGTACCTGGCCGAGAGCGGGAAGTATTACGTCACAGCCCGGTACTCGCCCAGGGGGAACTGTCAAGAGGACGGCGGCTTTACCGACAACGTGCTGCCGGCGACGGGATAGGCTCATGCTGTAGATACGTAATCCCCAATCCGGCGGGGCCCGGCCGGGCAGTTTGAGACTATCTAGAGCCGTGCCTGATCCTAGCCCTAGCCCATTCTGGCATAGAACTAGATAGGGACGTTTCTGGACACGATAGTAACCACACATCCAGGGTTAGACACTCCTAAGTTGCTTGTACCCTGGTATCAAGGACATAATGTCCTTGCTGGTATCTAGCCAAGTTGACACTTTAGATGAATAAGTATTAACAGTGTATTAAGACAGAGAAATAGGTCCTCGGTACAAAGAACAAAATATCAACCCGGAAGTATTTTGTGAAGATCGTGAGGTGGATATGTAAACAGTAACTATTCAGATAAATTTTACAACTTTGCCTCTGTGTCTAATAATTTTCATAAAATCCGTGACAACGAGAGATAAGTTTTAGTTGCTTTTATCAGGCAAAACCCAGATCTACTGTATCTACTGTATCTCATCTGCTTTGGGTAGCTCACGGTTTACTTAGCAAATGGTGCCCTTCATATTTCTATAATTGCATCACTACTGTTGACATGCATATATACGCGTAGCTGCTGTAGAATTCTTTTTATCATAATGCTATTGCGCATTGGTTCATTATGACAGTTGTGCCACTTCAACATACAGTTTAGTTTGTGCCCGAAACTCTATATGACGTTCGCGCGTGCCCGCCTGTCGATGTGCTTCCCGTAGCCTGCTGCCAACACAGACAGTTTTCCCCGTCAACAAGAATGCCAGGGCCTCACCACATGCCCCCTTGACACCGCTCGGTGTCAACTGTTTAGTCTGAAAATGGTCTCTGCTTGAGAATCAAACTCCGTTCTTTTCTACAAGTCAAGACAGGGGGATCTAGAGAGGACTGAAGAGTACTTAGCGATGGGACTGTTCGGTAAGTAACGTTATACATGGTATCAAGGATAGAACTAATAGCTGCGACTATTTTTGACCGCCCATGACAGGGGTGTGTGTGGACCAAGGCAAGACCGAGTCCGTCTTACCTTTGACGATCAGGGCAGCGTAAATTATATGCCAGCGCTTGTCGCTTTTTCGCAAGAACTAAGGCACTTGACCTGCCGTTTTACACACTTGATCTTCAGTGGTACACTGGACTACTGCTAAGGCCAAACTGTGTGACTTTTTGGTGGAGTCCATTATTGGCCAGCAATCTAGTCGTTAGGGCTAGAGCTTTGATGCCGTTATAAAAAAACAGCCTTGTTCATGGTCATGTCTACAAATAAGCGTTTGAATCTGGGCTGAAGACCCTTTAAGCCTGAGAGGTGTTGCCAATCGCGGACTGACTCTACATATGGCGGCCCCGCCTGTACTAACACCAACAGTAACAGCCGTTGACCGACATTACTGGGCAGACATTCAGCCATGGGCATCAACAGAGAAGGGGACGCCGTGTCGGCATGCTACCTATGTCCGTAATGTTAGCTGGTCTGCGTCCCACTTTTCAAGCATAGGCGATGAAATGCACGCAGTCCATTCGCCTTCAACCATGACCGGTAATTTTGAACCATGCAAGCTCCGTTCTTGAAGTAGCTTTTATCATCATAAGGAAATACACTAGGGGCCACTTGTACATGAGGAAAGTCGCCGTATTTAGCACATGACGCTATGTTATACTGTTGACACGGCCCATCTGTAACCCAGTAGGGGATAATTAATATATCAGACGGGAATCCTGAGCGGGGGAAGGCAGATATGAACACTGCGAACGTAATGAGAGTCCAGTTCCGCCACTATGATGGTTTCCCCGTATCCCCATATTACTGTCACTGACCTCTGTCCTTATCTGTCGTACTCAACGCGGAAGTTGAACTTGAATGTTTAAGGTCAGAAGATTCGAAATGATGAACGAGACGGGTCATTACAGAACTGCCACTAAAGAACGGAAATCGTTACATGGGTTTTTACTCCATAATATTTCTTATCACTTCAAGGATCCGGAGTATGCAGTGTTTACATCTGTCATCGCAAACGCAGGCAGCACTTGATTAAATGCTCTTCATCAAATTTTATTTTTATGAAGACGATGAAGAAAACATGGTTACCAAGTTAGTCATCTGTATCAGTATAGCCAGTATAACCGCCCTTCGTCGTAACACATCAAATCGTGACCGAAACTAGCCTAGTACTGTTGTACCTTGTATTGAAGCAATTTTTGAACATGTATATCATATTCCTCTACAATTATTTCCGATATTATGTCTAAGTATGATACATGATACATATATCTGGCTTTTGCCTCTTCCCCAGGCTCTAAGGAGCAGCGCAGGTTCCGGAGGGACCTGTTGGAGACACATAACGAGTACCGCACGTGGCACGGCGCGCCCAAACTCAAACTTTCCAGAAAGCTCAGCAGAAGTGCGAAGGCGTTTGCCAGGGGACTGGCGGAGACCAACAAGATAGCGGACATGCGGCACAGCCCGGAGGCCATCGAGGGATTGTACGGGGAGAGTATCGCCTGCGCGTCCTACCAGCAGTCAGGTACGTCACGAGTTTCACACAACTATTCAACTAATCTTAATCAACATACCTGTTAATGTTGTTCTTGTAAACTCCTTTAGAGCAACGTTATCATGCGTTATCAAGAAACATTTTCTGCAATGCCTCATCTTGGTACGATTTCACAATCATCAATTTCACAGCCCCAAACACCAAGAGATATTCTTGTCACCTAAATAATTCGTCATCCAATTCAAGAGTCATAAAGCGCCAATTAATTAGCATTTCTCGTTTCCAGGACGTGAGGTGTCAGAACTGTGGTACACAGAAATGAAGAGATACAACTTCGAGACACCAGGATACCAACCAAGAACCAGTAAGAATCTTTATTGAACAGGCAATGTCGCATCCTGACGATCTTATCTCTAGATCTGTGGTGCCGTTTCTGTTGGTCTTCTTCACGCCAAGACTGTGATGCCATAATTAAGCTTGTTGTTCACACGTCGTATGTATATTTTTCATAGACTTCATTGATATTTAGCGTTAGAATGTAGTATTACAGTGTTCTGTAATTCTCTGGACCACATATTGTCACATGTGTATTGAGCCCATCTGGGGGGGAATATTCAATAACGATAACGTTATAGGGGGTGGGGTTATGGGGGGTGGGGTTGAAGACCAACTAAAGAGTTGCACTAACATTAATAATTTTTGTTTTCCGTATTTTCTCCCCAGGTCATTTTACCGCCATGGTGTGGCGGAGTACGCGGAAGGTGGGGTGCGGCATAGCCCGGGCGGAGGACGGCAGTACGTACATCGTGGCCAGGTACTCCCCGCCGGGAAACATGATAGAGGAGGGGGAGTACGCAGAGAACGTCTGGCCTCCGCGCTGATGGAACGTGTGGCGTCGCGGGAAGATTTACTAGTCTTTTCCTGGCTCTTTGGGTTGCTGGGAAAATAGTAAAAATTGGCCAAATAGGCTGAGTAATTTGTCATAACATAAAAAGTTAGCCTTTTTTGCATGCAACCCTAGCGTATTACGCCTGCTGAATACTTTAGAAAATTACTACGCCTCTTTGATAGCCTCTACCAGGCTTAAAAAGCGGTTGGAGAGAATAGAAATTGGTCAAAGAGATAGATAAGAAGCCAGGTAAGTCGGTCCGGTAAAGAACAGACTTAACTCCTTTTTAGCGGATCCATTGCCTTGGAATGATATCTGTCTACTTTCCAGCCACTTCTGAAGCCTGGTAGAGGCTACCTATTTGACCGATTTTTACCATTTTTTCAGCGACCCAAAGAGTCTGGTAGAAACTAAGGGGGCTGATGAAGTGGGCCTTAACTTGATATCCAAAACGAGCAGTTTTCAACACGAGGAAGCACATTCGAACGTTTAATGCTGCTAAGTTGTACTTTTATCACTGTGTAAGCCGTGTGTGTCCACTGACCCAAACTTGTTGGTGAAGAACTATTATAATAGCGATAAAGCTCACCAACAATGTCAGGAGACAAAGAACAAAAAAAACACCAGCCTTATATATGAATACACGCTGCATGCCGCCATGTCTGAGTTCATGTGCTGAATTGTCTTGAGGAGGAATTCAAAGAGATGTGAAAAGTGTGATGGTATCGTCATGACATTGGGTGTTTAATCTTAAGTGTAGGTAATTTCCTATTTGGCGTATTTTCGTTTCTCTTTGGTAAATCTTATTTTCATATTTCTTTGAAACAAAGTGCAATGCAACATTGGACTTCAAATAAATGTTGGGTATTTTCCAGTGGTACTTTCCAGTGTATTTTTATGACACATTATGCACATATGGTATATACCGGCAGATCTATAATGGACAGTTAGAAATGTATTTCATCAATGTTTGATCAGAAGTAGGACGTATGTGCTTCCAGTTGCTTTTGAATATTTTAGCAAACCAGTTCTCTACAAATCCTGAAACAGTTAGAAGCACTGACTTATGAAATAGGAAACATCACTGGAATATTATAACAGGAAAACACAATAAATGAAGGTAACAAAATGATTCTATTTCAAGGCACATTCTAAGGTTTATTGAACTTAAATCTGAGTGAAACATAACAGCAAAAAATAACCACCTATATAACAAGCATGGCCTTGCCTGTGCAGGTGTAAAACTATTTCTTCTTCTCTACAAAATCCTTCTTGTACAATACAATTACAAAATGCACTTGTCCACACAAATATACATATAATTGAGATTATCCTTTGCATATAGTATTTGATACAATTTTGATATCATCTGTGACATTTACAAAGATAACCAGCGAGCGAAAAATATTTTTGGGAATATGGTGTCTAGAAGTGGCAGCTCTCTTGTGTCTCATTACGATTGTAAAAACATTCTAATTCCAAGAACATTCAGTGGATATGAGAAGTTACTAGTATGCTTTACAAACATTCTAGCCACCAATGCAGCCTCTGATTGACTTTCAAAACAATACACAGACAATACAGATCTGAAATGGCCATCAGAAACCCAGGAGCTATCAGAAAATTATGTGCAGTTGTTTACAAAAAAGTCTGCAACTGAGGCTACAACATGCCAGGTTTTCTCCAGGTTTTAAGTTTACCAACACTAGACCAACAATACTCATCAGAGTATTCACAGTTGGAGCCCATCTTCTGAGAGATACTGTAGTTCTGTTCTTGGGGTAAGATGTGCAGCAGGAATCTTGGTTTCTATGGTTACAGTTCTTTCCTCTATTACAACATGGCGAAGTGGTCCTTGAGCTGTTTAAGGAGACTGTTGGAGTCCATGTGTTCTGGGAAGGACTCCACCGACTTCCTGGCTGCAATGTAGCTACTCTGCAGGTCTCCAAGCTGGGGGATAACAAACAGACTGGGTGTAACACAGGATAAACCCCAACCCATGTCCTAACTGACTTAATCATTTTTTTTAAAGAAATGTGGGGGAATTGGGATGAGTGTTTTATCAGTTATTAACCCCACCTCTCCAATATCTCCTGAATCTGGTTTGTTTTTGATGCAATGATACTTATCATCAAATGGACATGTGTGTAACAACTTGTCAAGGATGCTGGTCTATGAATTTTTCACACAAAGTTCTTCACGCAATACTATATACTAACACAATGCAAGCTGTGCTCCCATAAGTATCAACAATTCAACACTATTAGGTCATGGAAGGACAGGTCTGCTCACCTTTTCTGACAGAGCAGCAAAGTTGTAGTGAGGCTCAAACATGATGGGTGCCAGCATCTGGGCTGTCTGGAAGAAAGCTCGGGCCTGCATGAAAAGGAAAGGGAAGGTTGAAAATTCATCTGCCCTTTACCTGCCCTTCTGTAAGCAAACTCATATGCACACTGTTTAATTAATGGTACATTAAATTTTTACCCAATAACATGAGTCCTCTGATTCTCTTGTAGAGCATCTGCACCTGACTTCGTGACACATTGATATACTGTCTAGACGCCAACGTAAAATATGTAAAGATGAGAGATACTATTAAAGTGTTTCAAACTCACCTGTTCCACCCTGCCCTTCTTCCACTCCAGCACCCCCAGGTTGTTGTAGGACTCGGCGTGATCGTTGTTTGAGGCCAGGGCTAGTTTAAAACACTGGTAAGCCAGGGCGATGTCACCAATACCCTACAGTAAAGTGAAAGTACCAGAAATCAGTCTCTCCTTCAAAATGCTGTAAATAGCATTAGATAAACTTTCGGGCAAAATTTTCTCATGTGAAAGTTATATGTTCACAAACATTCCAACCTAAAAAGGGGAAGGGAATTCCCTTCATAACCTAGTGCCCACCAGAATCCTTTGCAGGCTGAATAAATATTAGAAATCGGCCTGAAAAGAGGATTTTAATTGCCCAGAAGAGTTGGCCGGCCAGAGAGGGTCCACTTGCCTGCTTTGCCTCTTGAGTCAGCTATCAAACTTGCCTAAGCTTCATGTTTCTGACTTAGGGAGAAGTGATGCTGCTGCAGTGACCGTTAGTTCAGAAGTAGCCATTGTGGCTTTGTAAACATGTTAAAAAGATGTCCTCACCAGAGCCACGTGGCCGATGTTGTACCAGATGTCAGCCATGTTCTCGTCCGAAGCCAGCGCTATCGCCCTCTCAAAGCAGTTGAGCGTCATGTCGTACTGCTGGGCGTAGAAGCAGCACAGCCCGATGTTACAGAACAGCTCTGAGTTGTACACACCCATCTGCAGGAGTCGTCTTCAGGGAGGCAGAAGTCAGGGGTTAGACCTGGGTACTGTAAAATCATTAGTTTTCAAGGGGACTACATTTTGCAACAGGAGGGAAGGGGGGTTGTAGTGTTTTCATAATGCTGTAGTACATGTACAGTTCATAGTAATACAGTAAATGAACATTTTGCTTGTCCTTCGAATGATTTTCCATAGATGTCATGTTTCTACAACATGTCCTCACAAATCCAGCCAGTTAAAAGGAATGCAGATTACCATGATGATTGTACTTATAATTTAGAGATTTACTAATACAGATAAATGTAGCTTGCCTGACATTGTCACACTGAGCTGCACTTCATAATATTGTGTACAAGACCAGATCAACAAGTGGTTTAAAGTTGCAAACAGGGGAACACGCATAAACAGTGTATACCTAAAGAATCTGAGGGCTATTTCTGGCTGGTCTGTGTAGAAGTGGTGTGTGGCTATACAGGCGATGGCCTCCACATGGGTGTTATCATGGTGGAGAACCTCCTTGTAGAACTTCACAGCATTGGTGCTGTCATTCAGACCCTGGGGACAAACACACGTCACATACAGTCTTAAACCTTGCTATTACAAGGCAGCATAATACTTATCTAATATGGAGTAACTTATTAGAAAGAAAGTGTGTAATTTGCTATTCAATGATAATAGCAGTCTACATTATCAAACTTTCCATCCTAAACAGTAACATGTTGGAACAGTATGCTCTTTTGGTGCTGAGAATGGGACATGGAACTGGCATTCATGATACATACATTGTGAATGCAGTCTAACGATTTCTCAGTGGAGAGGTACATGATTAAAACCACCTCAAATATGTGTTACCTGATATCAGTACCTGATATCCACATAAGGCCACACCAAGTAAATTTTATGGATGACGTCCGCGCGCGCATTGATTTTGGCCTGTTCCTAGAAAAAAAACACAAGAAATTCCGCTTCCTATAACTATGACCAAAGAGTGACGACAGTGCCGCAATTTTATGATTTGTTTCTGCAAGCCTGCAAAAATGTGATGAAAGAAACAGGACAGGACGACAACTGCTGTTCCACCTGATTTAGTGCTGTTTTGATGATGAATAAAAGACTTCTTGCTTGGTACACTGTATCACCTCATTCAATTTGTGTCCTAACATTTGTCGTCTCTTAGTATATTTCTAACCTAGGCATCTTGTTTTTTAGGGCCCTTCTTGTTTTTTTTCTCACCCTCTCGCATTAGATTTAGGGTCTCCAAAGGACGTCATCCATAAAATTTACTTGGTGTGGCCTAATACAACATGACAAGACCTAAAGGCTTACATCGTATATCCTTGCGATGCCTGTGAGAAGTGAGACCTCCCCAGGGAAGTGCTCCAGGCCCTGACTGAAGACTTCGATGGCTGTGAGCGGCTGGTCCATCCGGACGTACACCTTACACAGGTACAGGTACGTGTCCACCATCACCTGCTGCACCAGCGCTGACTTCAACTGCCGCTCCGCGTCACGGAACAAACCAAGTCTGGGAGAAGGGGGAGGGGAAGTGTCTTAATATGACGGTACAAATTCACAGCAGTACAATAAGTTTTTTCTGTCTGTAATCTTTAGTATTTTTACTCCAATAACTGCTGCATAACTTTCTCTATCTATCTTTAACAGTGAGTTGTGTGCATGCCTTCCAGCTTTGACTTATGCCTGGACAAATGGATCAGGTGGAAGAGATGGTTGGATTATGAAATCATATATAAGACCTTCTGTTATTATTTGTGAAAAAGGATTGTATCTATGTGCATGCATGCATTGCGTGTGTGTGTGTGTGTACCTGTAGTAGCATTTAGCCAGCTGTACTTTCCACCACCAGTCTTTGAACTGGGCCTCTTCTGTTGCTAATGCTGCCAACTCAAGGGCCTGGGAGCAAGAAGACACAATAACGATACATGCATTTTACAATCTTTTGGATGGCCATAAAAAACATGAATTTTACACTACCAGGTAGGTATCATATCTACATGTATTTGTAGTGTTGAATTCTGAATTCTCTCCCTATTGAAGCTAACAATTGATACCTACCTGTATAGATGGATTTTACTGACACTGTGCCAAATCGATATAACATGTTCAAAATCTTGAAGCAGATATTAGGATGGAAGATTGTAACATTTTCCTCTCAACACCTGCTTAAACATTGCACCCTGACAAATAAGCATAGAGATGTGCAGCAGTCTATTGAGGATTGTAAAGTACTGTTCCCTTACATTCCTGACATCGTTCTCATGGTGGAAGATGTACTCAAACAGAGGTTTGGCCAGGCTCTGTCTGGCTGCGTACTTGTGGAAGTTGAGTCGAGCCAGGTTGATGAAGGGGCCATCAGGACTGGACAACATGGAAGCCTGGATGGAGGGATTCGAAGAGATATGGTCATGTAAGTTTTTAAATGTTCTGATGACGATTTTTTTGCTGTCAGGTCTGAAAAGTGACACGCTTTTATGTAAAAAGCAGTTCATATGCCTACATGGCTCTGGATGCGATCATGACTCCCATGTTACAAACATGAACAACAGAAATAAACCAGAAAGTAAGTGTGAGCCGGTTTCATCGTCAGTCAATGAGCTGAAAATCACATCAAGATTTTTCTGTACAAAAAGCGCCACTTACAGTTCCCAGTCTGACGAACCTTCCCGACGCTGACGTGACGGGTCTGGCCGTGTGCGCCGTGCGGGGGGTACGGATGGCCTGCTCCATGGTGCCAGGACGACCCCCCTGCGTACCCGGCCGCACAAACCCACTCAGGGGGCGTCCTGACTGGGACGTGGGGCTGGGGGGATCGTAATAAACATGTTGTAAGATATGGACTGATGTCATCAGTAAATGGGATCAAAACAGTTCATCATGTATTACATGTTGTTTATAATACTAATTTTGTATAACAGGCATCCTTGTACAATGGGATGGATCCTATTATTTAGACTAGAATCATAGCATCCACCACTAATCACTATTGACTGGTATGTTGATACCCAGCATTTCATATCTATATCTAAAAGTGTAAAAGCATGGTAGCAACATATTATTAGCAAAGATTTAATAGCCGTACCGAACACCTGGACTTGGTCCACCACTAGAAGTCCCAGGCTTCTTCAGGGATGTTCCTGGGCCTAAAATAGCATACAAAAATCAATTTTGACACCTACATGTATAATCTTATAAAGTCGTCACATATCTTAAGTATCATATGACAAACATTACAGGAGTGGATTCAGACTTTGACAAATACTTTTGACAAAAGCTGGCAAAGCAATAGAACTGAAAGCATGTTAATAGTTATGAAATCCTGAGCTGTCAGTACTTACGCGCCACCTCAGCGATGGCGTTGTCATCCATCAGCATCTCAGCGATCCCCTCCTCATCCACGTCCACCTCATCCACATACAGCTGCTCTGTCAGAGCACGCATCTTCAGGGTCCATGCAGCCTGAAAACAAAAGATGGGGCATTGTGTTTGTGAGCGTCGAAAGGTTATGTTGCTGTTTCTTGACAATGATGGAGAGGGATAATAAAAATGGACTTCTTTGATTAATGTTATGCTTGCAGTTTAGGAGGAAGTTGGTGCTCAGTTGTTTCACTGTGATTTATTACTGGTAAATACATCATTAATTTTATACAGTGGTTTGGAAAATGTGGTAGTTTGATCCATTGAGATGGACTGCGGGGTATCTTTGGCCTTGGAATAAATGGAAATATTTTTGGGGTCTTAAAAATATTAAGGTTTTAAGAAAATTAAGAACACCAACAACTATTATAAGGGGGAGGGGGGCTCACCTGGTCGTATGGATTCTTTTCCAGTAGCATGGTACACACTGTGACACAGTCCTCGAACCTTCGTCGCCGGAACAAGGACAGTGCCGTGTAGAGGGGGTCCATCCCACGGGGAACAAGCGCCATAGCCGCGGCACCGAAATCTTGACGCATAGTTCCCATCATCGTGAATAACGTTACAGGTGGGCTGGTCTTACTTCTTGTCTTGGTAGGAAAAAAGGCCGAGCTTCGCTGGACTCAGTGTACAGCTGTTGACCAGAGCAACTACGGGATCAGCTAGACAAAATCGCGTAAACGAGCAAGCCCAGGAAACCGGCTCTTATTGCTCACAACAATCCATCCACAACTTCGATACTTCTTTTCAGCGGCAGGTATTCAAAATGGCGGCCGAATGAGACCAGACTTGCAGTTTCACAACAAATCGCTAGAGGTGCTATTAACCCATAAATGCGGACGAATCTGGCAATCAGTCAGTCTCGTCCAAGCTTGTCATTCTCTCAAGCACTGTCCAGCAAAGTACGTGTACTTTTAAACGTGCGATCTATGTTTCAGATAGCATTTATCAGTGTACTAGTATTGTACTAGTATTGCTATGTCCTCTCAAGTAACAGGTGGCATTCTGTCATAAAGTAGATAGTATCTCCAATCGACGACAGACACGTTGTACAAGTAATGAAAGGGTCACATCGGTGGTCCTGGGCCCAGAACAACATGTACTGGAAATGTCGGAAGTACCACTTCAAACTTATACGTCACTCCTGCAATATTTGCACATAACGACGTCATCCATTTAATTGTCCTCGCTTGTTGACCCCATTTTCAAGAGCCAGCAAAAAATGTCACCGACCCGAAAACGTGGGTGGAACGTTTTTGTCCAGAAGTTAACAACGGGGGCGAAGATGACACCTGTAAAGGGACTTGAAATAGTCCTGAAAGGCCCTTCGCCTACCCCCGTGTAACACCCACGTGGCCACGCCTGTCTGTGCCAAAGTCAAGTTTATAGGCTTGTCCCGCTGACGAGACGGGAATGACGGGTGGAGGTTGATTGAAAATTTGGTGAAGGGTAACGTTAAGACAGTAATGTAGGCTTGATAATCATTGTAAAATCTTGCACCGTGTGCATTAAAAGAATTGTCTGTTAGTTGGCCAGGCGTAAGCCAAGTCCCAAGGGAAAACTTAACACCGATTTTCTGTATATCCTACTTTTCAATGTACGTTTGGAGCGTTGTTAGCAACGGCGCAAGACCCAAACGTTGCAGCTAGATCATACCAGATTTGAATTCCGGCTGCTTTCACCAGTCCACTCTTGAACCACCGATTTCCACAGGATTTTACTCCTACTCATTGTAATATTGATCGTAAAGTTCAACTAAGCCTATTGATCTTTGCTTCTAGACAGTCACGCATACTTTAACTTTTGGCTTTTACACGTTAATCATTAGATCCTCATCTTTTATCCTGTGTCCCGAAGTTGACCAAGTGGGTGGATATAAGCCCGATGGTCGATTAGACTTATCTGTCGGATCTAGCAAATGAGCACGAACACTGAAGAGTGAAGAGCCACACTGACAACAGATCGAGATGACGAAAACGTTTCATGTGCGTAAAACAAAAACAACACACTCAAATACCTTTACGTCAGTTACTACGAATGCACCCTGCCCAGGACACACAAACAACACATCACATGACGACTGTTGACCCTCCGTTCCACCTGAGATGACGAAAACACCCACTCGCTGACGCCATCGTCACCTCTTTCTGGGCACGATCGATCTTATTATAGAGGTATTGTTCATGAGGTTTCAGAGGAAACACTCGAATAAAACAGCCACCTTTCGCGGAATGTATACATTATTACAGGTGTCCGAGGTGTGGACAATGTTTGCCGTTAGTCTTTTGACAGAAATTCTTTGGGTTTGAATATATTTCAGAATCTGCTGTGATTTTCTCATGTCAGTTCTCTACAACTCATTAACTTATTATTAACTCCCTTGCGTCCATCGCCTGTCGCCGCGATACAGACATTGAAACCGGGTTTGAGGAAAGTTGGCCTGAAAAAGTAAAATGACTTGTAGGATTGACCTCAATCCACCGTGACAGCTATTTCATCGCAGTTTTCATGATACATATATTATGTGCCGCTGTTATGTCAGTTGTATTGCAGTCATTATTTTGACAAGATTTTCATTGTGGAATTGATCTGTTCCGAAGCTCTGGCTTATACATGTAAGTTTCCTCTGTGATCATCCACTATATACAAAGTGGGTATGACTGGTCTTGATATCCCAGAGGATGATGACTTGTCACAAAACCGTCTGACATAAGGAAGACACGGGTGATTAATTTTGTTCACCACAAAACCGCCTCTGTTGTTGTTACGTCATCTGTGTTGTCATACCCTCCGGCTATGTTACCGGGCATTGTTTATCGTGATAACAGAACTGTCAATAGAATAGTTGCGTCACCCACTGTTCCCTTTAGTAATCAAGTACTAGTCATGATGTAAGAGTCTACAGCTAACGTTAAAGTGGAACGTAGCGAATTATTTAGTTCTGCGGCGCCCACCTTGACGGCATCCACCGCTGTTTCTTACGTTTCCGGCGTCGTTTCCCGTAGTGTCTGTCTATGACTAGTACCGTCTAATATCGCCTTTTGAATTTGATTTGTCATCCCTCCGTTATGATACTTGGGTGAATATAAGGGACCTGATCCCCCAAAGCAGATGTATGGCTTCAGAATCGTCGAAATCAATCAATCAATCAACCAGTCAATCAATCAATCAATCAAAGAAACAAACAATCAAACAAAAACAGAAAGAGCACCGTGTCAAGTGACATTTGAATATCGTCAAACGGATCACAAAAACGTTTGAAGAGAAGCCGAAGCCATATATCTATCTGCTTGAAGTTCAACTTCAAAAGGGGGATGGGTTGAAATTGAAAATGACCGTGTTTGGTCAATCCCGTCAAGTGTTCAAAAGCATCACAATCCCGATTGTTAGGTTCTGGGATATCCCATTTCGACGATGACTCATTTCCACGTTGTTTACTTTCTTGGAGAGAGACAAAGATACGTGACAGAACGGGAAGTTACCAGGGCACTGACGCACAATCATAATAATCAGACGACCGGAAACGACAAATTCCCGCCAAGTTTCCTGGACGACGACAAGTTTCAGATTTCGCGGTTCTTGACGAGGAGAAAGAATCTCGGCACGCCATTGGCTCTCAGGTGACCTGACCCCGACCCGGGCCAATCAGCGAAGTCGGAACGTGGCACAGTTCTGTAGTCTCGTCCAGGCTTTCTGGGAAACGGACACCAAGCTGGGCGGGAATGTATAAATGCATGAAAAAGCTACATGCATAAATGCACAGAAGGAACATCAAATACATGTACAACACAAGGGTCTCAATACTTAAAAAGGGCAGACCGTAACACTGTCTTCTATTAAAGTTTTGCAAAGTTAAAGGATGAATCTCATTTAAACCTTCCAAGTGTATCTTGCGCAAGAAAGAAAAGAAACTCGAAAAATATTTGTCTAATGAAAGTTTTAATTTCGATTTTAATTTTTTCGTTGCGATTTTATTTCTGAATGATCGAACCCATACAAAAACCTTTGATTGATCCAGTACTTTGGCAAGTCCTCTGGCAATTAAAGAGAATTGTTCAAAAAGAAGACAATACAAATTTCTTTGTTTTGTTTTTTCAATGAGCATGTAAAATAAAGTTCCTTTGTTATATGATTTACTTCCTTTCCTTTTGGTTTCATTTTGAGTTCTTTACTTCCTAGTTATTCATGTTGTTTGTGTCAATAATGAATATTTGATGAGGTTGAACCCGCGACCCCAGAGTGCACCCAATCACGCGCCTGGAGCGAGGCTGAGGAGGTCCCGCCCGCCCGCCAGCCCTGGAACGCCATATAAGGAGATGTTGTGAGAGTGGCAGGAACTTCGGTGTTGCTGTTTTTGGCTGCGGCGAAATTCCCGGCTTCGTCCCCTCCCTCTTCTTCGGGCTGGCCGTGTCGTCGACTTCCGAGGCCTCTCATCGTGCGTCCAAGGACGCCCACGGGGATATAAAGCCGATGTTGCCGCGACGGAACTGGCTCGAGTGACTCAGATCCAGAGGTGGGCCTATCCCGTGGACACACTGCCCCATTTTGGACATTTCTGCGAAGTTGGTGGTGGGGTGACCCCTCCACTCCGAGACCTAATTTTGGACGTAAGGACGATTTCCACCGAAGTTGTATATAGCTCCCTGTGTCGACTGGGGTTATAGAGGAGTAAGCCGTTTTCCCTCGGACACAGGAAGAGCTGGAATTTGAGGGATATTCGAGTCGCGCTCTCCCGGGACAGAGACTGATCTCACGTCTGACGCCAGTAGAACCGTTTGTGTGTTTGCCAATTTGAACTCGGACCCCGAGAGGTGGGAGGGCAACTTTACAGAGAAATAATTTCCGCATACAGAAGCCTTTCAAGATGATGCACGAAGGGCGCGTGGTGGGGGACGGCTCGTGGGAGCTGAACGTCCTGGTGACGGACCTGAAGGCCGAGAGGAAACTGCGTGTGGACGGCGACATGTCCATAGGAAACGTCATGATCAAGCTGGTCGAGTCGCTCGGTAAGTAAAGTAGAGCAGCCAGCATGGCGGTTGGTTCGACTGATAAATTGACTGATCGACTGCATGCAACCCTAGCTGCAGTCGCGGAGGGAAAGATAAATACTTGGTAGGGGCGTCCACAGCGATGCAGGCCCCCAGCACCGCGGGTGTTTATACTTGCCGAGATAGATGTCAGTCCGGGCACGATACCGGGAGGGAAAAATCTCCGCCCGGCACGTCTTAGGCCGATTGCGGCGACCCGAGCTCCTCTGACCCGTAGCCGACAGCGTGTGTTTTGATGTAGTAGGCAGCTCGGTTGTAGGACAATACCACGTAGACTCCTGTAGTTTCTATGCTTGGGTTATTCGGGTGTATTTTCTCACTCGACGGGACCCCTCCCCCTCTAGCCTTGCACAGATTCCATCGTCAGGGAAAACAGATGTTCATAATTACACACACACACACACACACACACACACACACACACACACACACACACACACACACACACACACATACATACACATACACATCAAGCAAGGTCAGCAGCCACAGAAAAAAAAATCCCAAAGCCATCCTGTGTACATCGCTATGTCAGGGCCACATCTGGTACTATCTCTTTTGTTGTTTAACTACTGACTTCCACAGGATGGATGGACGTGAGTTTGCCTTTTAGTTTTAACGTTACTCGTGGAACTTGTCAGGAAGTGACTAGTGCTGATAAGTTGATAAAATGCCCCCAAAATATGGGGACATCAGGACATTGAGACCTATGATGTCCCCAGAGATAGAAGTTGCCTCTGCATGGCTGTCATATGATCCCAGTACTTCCTGCTTGCCTTGTCATTACTAGCTAAAGGAACACAATGACAATCCTCTGGCTCACGTCTTTGTTGTTAATGAAGTACTAGTATTTCTATAACGTCAACTGTTATAATAGTCTTTGTAGGTCATGTATGTAGTCATAACACACTCACCCAGCTCAGGGACTTTCTGTTGTAGAAACCAGTGATTTTCACAGTCCTTTTGGGGAAGGTTGTACTAGTGACTGTGTTGTCGTTAGCAAAAGCATAGTTAAGGTAGACAGGACAACAGAATGGGAGTGACTAGTAAGATATGTCACCTAGTTGTAAAAAAAAGGCAGGTGCATGTCATTTAGACATATGTCATCATAACAGCAGCTTCCATCACTGATCAATATGGAGAAGTGATGATGGGCAGACACCACATTTGCGTTGCGCAGTAGAGGCCTCAAAATGGGAACACGATTGTAGTGCCTAGTTAATACCTTTGAAAACCTTTTTTTCTCTTGAAATTTTTGGTCCATTTTGGAGATTTTTGGGCTGGAAGGCACAGGTAGGGTCTAAACTTTCCTACATTGGTCAAGTTTTGTTTATTTCACCAGTTTAGTGGGCGTAGTGAGAGATGTGAGTGGTTAGGTCTTGTCTGGCCAGGCGGATGGATACCATGGAAAATGTAGGTCAAAGTTGAGGTTTTTTTACTATCATCAGCTGTGGCGGGAATTTGAGGTGGTCAACCCCCTGTTTCCTTTCTATTTTTGGGAATCAGACCCTTGTTGCTACCTGGTGCAGAAACATTTTTGAGATTGGAGTATGGGCAAGTACTTTCATGAGGTGTTGAAATAGTGTATTTAAGCATGTGTTCCTATGGCAAGATCTAATAGTACTGTCTGCCCTGATGTGCCCAGCCCCATGGTACTGGCTGTGCACAGATGGGATTTCATTTTGGCCCATTGGGAGGCAAGGGCAAGAGACCCCAGCTGATCACAGGGGATTAGGACAAGAGCAGATGTAAAGCATTTTCTACAAACCAATCCAAAACATCTTTTCTCCATCTGTGCAGTGCTGCAGGGCCTAAATGGGTCATGGCATTCATGGAAAAGTTGTCAGGGTATTGTGGCCTTATCTTGACTATATAGGTGTTGACGTCAATGATACTGTCAGGTTTCACTTTTGCCAATACACAGTTTTGTGAGCTTCAGACAATAAGGATGTGTACAGC